GCACTGCCTTGACAAAGCGCAGCGTCTCCAGCATGAACTGGCGGGCCGCAAACTCAAACTCGTACTGCGCCTGCTTGACCACACGGTCTGCTGGCCAGTCAGGGTGGCGAATGGACACCAACTGGCGCGACGACTGGCGGTATATGTCCTTGTCCTGCCAGTTGCGCACCCACACAGGCCGCCAGTCCTCCCAGTCGATGACTGCCAGGCCTGCAGGCTCCTGTGTACGGATGTAGTGCTCCACGTGCTCCTGCAGCATCTTCAGATGTGCCCAGAGGCTGCCATTCTGTGGCACGCCCCCATGCACAGACCTCCCCACGGAATTGAAGTGTGGATACAGGCCCAGCCGGTCATGGTAGAAGATGGTGATGTTCTGGTTCACAAAACCCTCATTAGGTGAGGCCTGCACATCAAAGGCCTTCAAGTCCAGTGGTACCTTGAGGCGAGGGCCACAGTCTTGTGTGGGGACATCCCATGCTACCACGAAGGGCCGGCCGGTGAAGATGGGTGGTGCTGTGGGCTTGAGCTGGGTGGCCCATGCCACCAACACCAGGGCCAGTGTGACGGCAGGGCCCAGGCCTGCCCACATGCTGGGGGCTGCAGGAAGACGGTGTCACCTGCCTGGCACCAGCTCAGGAACTGGGGGAAAGATGGGGAGAGAGCAAGTTAGTCTATAGAATCCTGGAGGTGCCCACCCCAAACCCATTCACACTCCCACAGTCCAGGCTGTGTGGGACACTGTGCCCAGGGCTGTTCAGACCCTGTTAGGTGACTGTAACAGGTCTGAGACCACCGGCCACGGAGGGGAAGGCAAGACACCCTGGGAACTCACTGCCAGGAACACAGGGCTCCTTCCTAGAGCAGGTGGCTTACAGCCGGGTAGAAACCTCTAGTAGGTCTGTGACTCTCAGAACTGGCAGACTGAGCCATGGACTCGCTGCTCAGAAATACAGATATCTGCAAAACCACCCAACACATGGTTTCAGAGAGCCCCGAACCCGAGGCCCACTCTGTACCCCGTGAAGAACTCCCGATCCAGAGAAATGATAGCATCTGGATAAGGCAGGGCACAGCTCATGCAGCCACCAGGAAGCTGGAATAAAGCCGCAGGGCTGGTATCTGTGCAGCACCCGCCTGGCAGAAGAGCGAGGCTGTCAGGACTTTGTCTCGAGCGCAGACACTCTCCCAAGCTTGGTGGAGGCCCCACCGGGACAAAGGGGCGGCGGACCTCCCACGGCGGCGCCGGCGGACCGGCCCTTCCCTCGGCAGCCCCCGGGAATGCACGCGCCCGCCCCCCAGGCGGGCCTGGGGAGGAGCTCACTTCGCCTGGCCTTTGTGCGGGACCCCGCCCCCGCCCCGCACGTGGGGCCTGAGCCGGGCCGGGTGGGGGTGGGGTCCCTGGGCCGCCCCGCTGGGCGCATCCCCGAGGGTTCAGAACCCAGCCCGCCGGGAGAGAGCCGCTCGGCTTGCACTGCTCGCCCTCACCTCGCGCGGGGCGCCGCCGGGACCCGCGCCATGGCCACCGCCATCCCCGGCCCAGCCCGGCCCAGCCCGGCCCGCTCCGGCCGCTCGCCCAGGCGCTGCCCCGGCTCGGCGCCTCTGCTGCTCCGCCCCCCACCTCTCGCCCCGGCCCGCGGGCCCTTTAAGAATCCAGCGCGGAGGTTGGGCCCGGGGCAGGACTTGAGGCCGGGGCGGGAAGGTGTGCCCGACTTTCACGCAGCCAGTGCAGCATTTCGGCCTCCAAGTTTCCCAGATCCTCCGCCGGGGAATGTGGCCACCCATCTGGAGCCGTGAGCCCCCTCCAAACGGGGCTTTCTTCTGGAGTCTCAGGCGCGAGCTCCAGTCAGCCCAAGATTTCCTCCCCCACCAGCCCGCGGCCGGTGGTACAGTCCTCCCCGCTCCGCCGCGCGACCAGCCGCTTAAAGGGACAGCGTAAGGGACGGGAGTCGTGGAGGGAATAAAGAAGGTGGTGTTCCTCCGCCCGTCCATAAGGTGGTGCTGCGGGACCCGGGGCCTTGGCTGGGGGCAGCAGAGGATCTGGTCCTGTACCCGCGAGTGTAGCTTCCAGCCCTGGGGCAATTTGGAAAGAGGGACGGTGACCAGAGCCGACCTCGGGCCTTCCGGGACAGTAACACCCAGTCCCCTACGGATCAGGGCTTCCCTTCCCCACCCCCTCCCGGCCCAGTCTGAAGGGAAGCCCCGCCCCCTGCCAGACTGGGGGAGGGGGACCAAGCGCCAGCCTCTTAGCCCTTGCTGGGCTGGGCAGAGGCTGTGGTTGTCTTGGCAACACGAGCTTTTGAGTCGCAGCGTGGCCGGCCCCGCTGGGGGCCGGTAAGCCCAGCGGGCCCTGGGGGTAGGGCCCCCTGCCTGCGACCTGCATTAGGGACAGGCCGATGCCTGGGCTCCCGTTCCCTCCTGCCCAGTCTCTCTGGAGGCCTGTAGGGGCCCCCCAGGCTTTACTTCAACTCTGAGGAGGCTGCTACCCTCGCAGTGGACCCGGCCCGACCGCAGAGAAAGCCGGTCTGGCTAGAGGGGCTTCCCCCAGCCTCTACCCGGTATCAGGAGCCCTTTCGCCCCACAAGCCCCTCTCGCTGGGGAGCAGGCTTGGAGCTGGACCGGGCCGAGATCTCCCTGCCTCTTCCTAGATCCTCTCCCCCGTACGGGGCTCAGCTCCCCCAAAGGGCCCGGGTCTGCACCACCAGCCCATTCCCGTACGCGCGCCAGGGAGAGGAAGGAGAGAGAGCTCCTGTGAGCGGATCTAAAGGGGGTGCAGACCAGTCGCCTGTACTGGGCTCACCTGTGTGGGAGCCCGTGGGCCCAGTAGGTCGGCGGCCTCCCTTCTTCCCCGCGTGAGCCTCTCCAGCTAAGCTACTCGCACCAGCTGCTGCCCGCCGGGCAGCCCGCCGGCGACTTGATAAACCCCATCCCCTCCCACCCGCTCCCGCCTCCCACCCCAGCCCTTTTTCCTCACTTCCTGCTGCCCCTCTGAGAGGAAAGGGCCAGGAACAAGCGCGGGGGAAGGGACCGCCTTGACCCTGTTTCCCTCCGGCATGCCCTGCTGGCTGGCTGCCCTCCCCACCCTTCCCCCCTGGAGTATGCCCTGGCCCTGCGAACTGCACCAGGTGACAGGAAGGCTGTGGGACTTGGCTCAGGTGACAGCCTCCGCCATGCCGGCAGCTTCCTAACCCTGAAAGCTCTTCTCCCTAACCTTCCCTTGGGGTTGAGGCCCATCCTCAAATCCAGTAGCCTGTGAGTGTGGAGGGGCCCCAGTGGTGGGATTCTTGGCTGATGGTCCCCCAAGGCAGGTGGTGAAGAAGGGAACCGGCCCTGAGATGGTTTGGGGAAACTTCCAGGAGCTGAGTCAATTTTTTTCCCACTGAGAGCGGAAGCATCCCAAATGTGACAGAGTGGGCAATGTGTTGATGTGTGTGACTGTGCAGGGTGGGGGGTGGAACAGGGGCTGGGAGGGATCTATAGGCCTCCAGCTCTTCTGCTGGAGGACATTCCTAGGTGAACTTCACCAAGATACTGCAGAGTAGGGAGCTCATAACTGGAATGAGAAAAGGGCTGTGTTTCCATGGGAAGGGGTTGCCCATAACAGGACTGGCCCCAGGGAGAGCTGCAGCAGAGTCCCAGCAGACTGTTCCAGAGAGTTGGACAAGTCTGCACACCCTCAAATCACCCTGAACCTACCCCATTCACCCTACTGGCCCACCTCCCTGATGCCCGGGGCCTTTCTCCTAACAGAAGGCTGTGGAAGACTGGGCAACTGGGGGAACTGGGTACACACCCTAGTCTGTCCCTGAGGACCAAGGAGTCCAGGACATGGCAAGGGAGGGTGTGTTCCCATTACCACTGTGCTGGCTCCATAAGGGACACAAGCCTTGGAAACTGCAGGGGGTGGGGGCCTCTGGGGAAACAAAGGCCAGACCAGACAGTCCCAGGGCAGGGACACTTCCTCAGGCAGCCAGCAGGAAGGAAGTGAACACAGCCCAGTGGAAGGGAGTGGAAGAGCACTGCCCTGACCCCCATTGTTTCCAGCTTTGGGGTCAGCTGGGGCAGGCTGAACGCAGGGAGTTCCCCCACGCTGGGACTGTGGTGACGGGAGATGGGATGCCATCTGGCATGGCAGAACCCTGGCCCTGGGGCAGTAAGGGGGAGAACGGAGGATGACACAGCTTTATGTCTGGCATCTTTTCAGGCAAGTGGGAAGGTGCCCAAAGAAGAACTACAAAGGCTGCACAGGATGATCCTGCTCCGGATGTGACAAATTTAAGCCTCCGAAAGACTGGCAGGCCAACTCCCCAGACCCAGAAGCCTGTGTCCCTGAACTCCCCCTTCCCTAACTGGAAGTTGGGCTGATGGCCAAGGGCCAAGCCTAGTAGGGAACCAGCCTTCTAGCAGGGCCTGAAAAGGGTAGGCTGAATATACACAGGGGGTAGCTGGAGGTGAGAACACAGGGTCAGCAGGGAACAGGTGGGTTATGCCCGATGGAACAGAAGCCCCACACCCACTCTCCTGATGGTACCCACAGGCAAGTCCTGGGAGGAAGCAGGTGGGTTTGGGCTACATGGCCTGGCAGTAGGCCAAAAGCATGGTGGCACCCATCTGATTGCTGTCCACTTAAGATGGGTCTTGGAGGTCCATGGGGTTCATGTTGTGACCTCATGTGGGGTCAGCTGGCATGGCTGGGGGCATGACAGCTATTCCAGACCTGAGGTCATGCTCTCACCTCAGGTCAGGCAGATGGGGCCAATCCCTAGTGAAGCACCCCAAAGCCTTCCAATTCCAGCGGTCCCCACCTATTAGACACAATAGACAAATGAGTGGCCTTCCTTTCTGAGGGGCCCTGCGGTGAGGGCTGTGTGAATACACTGCCACCTGCTGGTCACAGCTGGGATGGCCACAAGCTGGGCTCAGGCTTGGACGAGTCGTGATGATAAAGATGGGAGCCATCAGAGTGGCCCAGTCTAGACATTGGATGTCACAGCAAATGCCACTCTTGTATGCAGGGTCTACAAATAATTTTATTGAAACTAAACAAATAACACAATAGCCTTCTTAGATTGGGGGCCACCCTTCCCAAGCCATTTCCCATACTCTTAAAAGCACAGAGCTTGCACAGTAAGGAATTAAAAAAAAAGTCATTTTGATGTAGAAATCAGACTCTGCCCCAACATCATGGACTAGACTATTTACAGACTTTCACATTTTAAGTATTCCTTTATGGTTGATCTCTCCTTTCTGTCTCTACCCAGGGGCTCCAGTACCTTCCATTGACTGATCCTGGGGGATAGGTATACAGTAGGGAAAGGGGTGGTGGGATCCTCACAGCTACTGGCACCAGCCCTAGGGGTGCTGTCCCTCACCAAAGGGTGGCAGATAGTCTCCTCCCTATGGCAGGGGTCGGGGGGGCAGGGGAGCTGGTACAAAGGCAAGGAGGATTAGACAAAGTAGGTGGGTTGGGGCAACTCCCCATAGGCACAGGCATCATAGCTCTTCCTGATCCCATCTTATGCCCTCTCAACTGGGGGTGTGTGTGTGGGGCAACAAGTAGTTGCAGTGGGGGGGTCAGTCCAGCCCTGGGTGGAGGGAGAATCCTCCCACACCAGTCCCATCTCCTATTAACAGCCAGAAAACTGTCCATCCATCTGGGAGTGGGAACAGATGAGCAGGTAGGCAGGAAGAATCAGGCTTGCACTGCCCCCCACCTCTGTCCAACACAGGAGGAATCGAGGTAGCAAACGGCTGAAATGCTCCAACAAGGGGGTAAAGGAAATGAGGGAAAGGAAGTTCCCACTTGCATACAGCTCCCACAGCCCAGGGGCTGGAAGAAGGCAGACCTTGCTTGTAAAGTGCTGTAGCCCCTAGCAGGGCTGGGCCCTACGCAAGCTTGGAAGAAAGCAGGCTAGGCAAGGGTGCAGGAACCAGGCATTCCTGACCAGCATATGCCCTGCCATGCTCCTTGTAGGGATTGCTGGGGAAAGTGGGCTGGTAACTGCCATTAGCCCTCGCCAGCCGCCAGCCACCTCGTCCACATATAAACCAACACCCAACCAACATTGCAGGACTGCCCTGCTCACAGCTGAAGTTTCCAGGCCAGTGCAGTTTATTCAGGGTTGTGGCCCCAGCTTAGATTCCTTAATGGAAGCCACACCTTGAGCCTGGGGGTTTCTTGCTGGGGTAGGGAGTGCTTATGCCTGCCACTCCCCAGGCTCACACCTCATAGAGGATCACAGGAAAATCCACGTGGATGCGGGGAGGATCCAGCTTCACGATGCCCTGCCATGGAAACAGAAGCTAGTGAGGGCCGGCTCCACCCCCAAGAGCCCCCACCATGACAGCAGACCACATGTGGGTCTACCTCCACACACTCAACATACGCCCTTATGACCAATGCCCGGCCCCTCACCTGAGGAATCAGATTCTTATGCACCCGCCTCAGCTTGGCCCGCTTCTGCCCGTTCTTGGTGACGATTGTCTCCTCGTAGAACTCGTGAGCCAGATCCCCATCCTCATCATAGAACATGGAGCTGTATGGAGAGAGAGGGAACGGGCTGGGCTGGAGCCCCACACCCGGTCATGGCAAATGACCAGACTACAGGGAAGTGTGCCCACCTCCAAATGGGGAGGAACAACCTTGGTGGGAGGGAGAGAGGATAATATGCCTGAAGAATCCCTTGTTTAGGGCTTGGAGTCTACTAGAAGCAAATGGGGAGTGGGATGGTAGCCAGCGCTATTCTCTCATTCTCCAAGAAGAGAGATCATATCAGAGCACATTGTCACGGCAGCCAAGTTCAGTTCTGATCACTGGAGTGTTCAGCAAAAGTAGCCATTCCAACATCAGGTCCTTGCCTTCACCCAGCACTTCTAGAGTGGGCAGCATGATGGCCTGGGCATGTGTCTCACTCCAGAAGATACTGCTGGCCCTGGGCCAACCTGAGATGGCAGATGCCTGAGCTAGGAGGGAGCCTGAAGGGAAAAAGGTTGAATCCTCCCCACCCACCCCAGGTGGCTGGTGTAGCCAAACTACCACTGTTGGGTCTCCCGTGTATCTACAGCCAAATCTCCAGTATCACCTGAGTACCATTTCCCTGGGCCCACCAGGGGTAGGCCAATATAGTGCTCCTGTCTGGACCCGTGGAAAGAGAAGGGAGGTCAGTGCTCCAGATCTGGAGAACATACCTGGGTGAGGGTCTTTTTACCCAGGTTCCATCCTCAACAGTAGGGCCCAGTCCTACTTTCCTGGCTACTACCCTCAGAGGTCCAACCCCATCACGATGGGGAACGGAAACAGCCAAAACAGGGTTAATTCTTCCCTCAGAAGAACTGGGGGAGAGGGAGGCTAAGAGCCTTCAACTTTCATGCTGGCCAGGAAAGGATGAAAGAAAGACATCCTGAAGTCGCAGGGAGGCTCTATCTCAGCTTTACCGTGCAGAGGGCCTGCCCATGGACAAGCCTCAGGCCCACTCTTCCCCTAGGGGGACCTTCAAAGCAGCCAGGTCATCAAGAACCGACTGCTCTGCTTTCCCCACCCCTTGCTCCCACGGGGGCCCGAAACATGGGACTCCTTCTGGAGCTCTCTGTAACGCGGGGAGCCCTGCCGCCCGCCTGTTCTCCCCGGGGCGGAATCCGCGCCCTTACCCGCGGCGCGTGAATACGAAGGGGGGCACGACTCGGCCTCGCGGCCGCACCAAAGCTTGCTCAGCGACTGCCGACTCCGGGCCTCCGCCCCCCGCCGCCGAGGCGAAGGGCCACAGGCCCCGAGCTTTGGAGCCGCTGGCGCCCATGTCAGGGCCGCCGGCGCATGGCGAGCCCCGCGACCGCTTTGCTCTCACAGGGCCGTCGGCGCCGCCATGCCCTGCCTCGGCATCCGCTCGCAGGTGCCGCCGGTGCCGCCGCCGGTGCCGCCGCCGCCGCCGCCGCCGCCACCGCCGCCTTCCGCAGGCTCCGCTGTCTCCACGGAAACCTCACTTCCGCTTCCGCATGCTCCTCACGCTGCTTTCTCTGATTGGCTGCTTCTCTCGTCGGTCCGCGGGGCGGGATCAATAGCCGCTCTCAGAAGCTAGGCATCCCAGCAGGCACCGCGAAACATCAGGTCCCAGCAGGCCAGGCTCTCCCCAGCTGGGACAGCTCCCACCCAGGGCAGTGGACGTGTGTCTTCCCGCTTTCTTCGTGTGTGGCGTCTCCGACGTCCCCGACCCCGAGAGGTCAGGTCCAGCGGGCCTGCCCAACCACCAGCCTCCCCGCAACCAGCACTTTAGGGCTGCCCCAGGCCAGACCGTGCATTGCCCACCTGGCCTTATTTTATTCCCACACAGTTTCTGCGATCCCCACTGTGGCATGTAGAGAAGGAACCAAACCTAAGGATAATGAACTAATTGGCCAAATGTATAGCTACGTTCAGTCTGAAGAACTTTGGATTCAGTGTTCTTTCCAAACCCAGTAGAAGGCATACTTCACGAAGGCAAGAATTAACAGCTGGACCTTTGATGCCATGAGCAGTGTGTGGTCGTGGTCCGCAGTAGTAGCTCAGGAAATATTTGGTGAAAACGCCTCTCACAGCTTGGGGTGTGTGTGTGTGTGTTGGGAGGGGTGTGGGTTCCCTAAATTCTAGCTTATATTCTTGCCTGTACCCTGACCTGAGACCCCATGGTGCTGCGTGATGACAGTACATATCTGTACCCCACATCCTTCACAAATTGGTCACATGGTGACTTTTAAAAGGTGCTCTGTGAGCCTGTCCATCACCCTTGGCAGCCACTGGCATGAGGGCAGTTTCAGTTGAGGGCCCATAATAAAGACTTCAAAAGCAGAATTCTTAAATCTTTATTCAGCCAATTCTCTCAGGCCCCAGGCCCTGATGATGACTGTCACCCCCACCCCCTTCCCCACAGGAGGCATGCAGCTGAGGCCACAAAATATTTCATACATTCGCACACATCATCAAAAATAACTGAGGGAAAGACCCTCGCTTTGATTGGCAAAGAAGGCACAGACCTGACCAGTGCCCACACTCACACAGACCCTGGCCTAGGGACATCCTCCTTGGAGGAGGCACTGAGGCACTGTTGCTGCACCATGAGCCAGCATTCCCTGACCCCAGTGTGTGTGAGGAGTCAGAAGCCACTGTAGAGGGAAACCTAGACTCTTCCCCCACGCCTGCCTTATCTTGAACACCTGCCCTTGGCTCCGACTGTCCTGACACCCCATCCAACACCCAAAACATATGACCTTTCCCCATAGAGGAGGGCCCTTATCCCTGAAAACATGACCCTATTCTGTTTGTAGGGTCTCCCAAGATTCTGGTATCTGAGACACGAATTAAGGAGACTTAATTCTGCTCTATCCCTGCTGCAAGCCTGGAGCAGCTTCCTGGGGCAACCCTGGCCCACCATGACCCACTACATGAAGGGCAGAAGGGTGCAGAGCCATGCTTTGCTACACCTATGGGTGGACACAGGGGGCCAGCTCCTTTGCTGTTCTCTGGGCTCATTCCCCCAGTAAGAGACGACCTCCATGCACACTCATTCTTCAGGCCACATGGGCCCTGTCACACTCACACGGCACGCCCTCGGCGCTGCCTACTCTCCTCCTTTCCCCCAGGGGTACAAGAGGTCACCCCAGGGGGCAGGCGTGCAGGGCCTCCTGAATCTTCTGACGGCAATAGGAGTACTTTTTCAGGATCTGGCGGAGGTGTTCCTCTTCCTCCCGCTGCAGGATGCGCAGGAAGTTGTGTAGTTCAGGCATGCTGAAGGCATCCCACTGCAGGGGGAGAGGAGGGAAACAGGCTGCAGCAGGCATGGCCAAACCAGCAGGCTCTCCCCAGCAAAGAGCAGCAGTCGTGTCACACAGCTAGGATGGGGCTTTCTAATGTTAGGTTCTTGCCTGAATGGCCCGTGCTAGGATTCTTTTTTTTTTTTTTTTTTTAAGATTTTATTTATTTGACAGAGAGAGAGACAGCAAGAGAGGGAACACAAGCAGGGGGAATGGGAGATGGAGAAGCAGGCTCCCCGCTAAGCAGGGAGCCCGATGTGGGGCTCAATCCCAGGACCCTGGGATCATGACCTGAGCTGAAGGCAGACGCTTAACCATCTGAGTCACCCAGGCGCCTCCCATGCTAGGATTCTTGACAATAGTCTGTATAGAAGATGGGCCCCATAAAGTAGGGCAGTCACCTCCAAGACAGGCAACCAAACCAGATGTTCCCCAGTTACCTGTGGACAGGTTATGCCCACACTCTGAGTTTAATACTACTCCACACACCCAATACTTTGAAGCCAGAAAGCTTCTAGGTAAAAAGTCATAATGGTTGAACGGGAGCCTCCCTGACGATGTGGGCCCATCTGTGTGCTTTGATCTGGCTTAAAATCACCATACTATCAGATGGATTCCTGCATCTCCTGAGGAATTTCCACAACAGAAAAGAGTAGACCACCAAGACAATTCTTCTGGGCATTTTGGGACAGGCCCATGACCTTGGCTTGAGTGGCCTGGAATGCTTCACTGTACCTACAAGATTCACATATGCCTGAAGAGGCTTTGCAGGGCTTTTTCTCCAGCCCTATTCCTCCTTCCAACTCTACTGCAGCCACTAGCCTTGCCCAGTGACAACCAAGAAGCAAAAGAGGGCGTGTACTCACATTCACCTCCCCAGAGTCATTCTCCTTGAGGACAAAGCTTAGGGCCTTCTCGCTAGGCCCTGCAAGGAGCCGCAGCCGCAGGGGCTGCTCATCATCTGACAGCTTCCGGAGGTACACTGAGGGCCAGGCAGGGAGAAAAAGTATTTGATTAGAGTCAGGCCCAGCCCACTTAGCTCCTTACACATGGTGCATGCATATATACCCTCATACGTGGTAGGGTGGGAAGCCCACCTTGGCCATGGCGTTCAGCCCGCTCAAAGAGAGCAAACTTGCGGGGGTCATCCACCACCAAGAATTTGCGAAGTAGGGCCTCAATGACCTCACGTGCCCGCGTGCGTGACAACACATGCAGGTGCTTGACAGCATCCTTGGGCAGGTAGAAGGAGGTACGGCGCCTCACAGCAGTGCCCCGCCCTGGGCCCCGCCTGGCATCCTGCAAGGAGGGTGGCTTCTTGCTGGAGGGCACTGAGACAGGGCGCACCAGCTTCAGCTGAACCTTGATGAAGCCTGTGTAGGAGCCATCCTTGTTCTGAAGAGGAGAAACCAAATCATGACTACGTTCCAGGTGAGATGGAACAGATCTGGACACCACTAGTCCACTTGGGGCTAGGCTAGGTGTAAATAAATCACTGCTTAGGCCCACCCAAGAATACCTTAGCTGTAGCCTCTCCCCACACCCCCTCCCCAGGCTGCCAACTCACCAGGCTCATGAAGAGGTTGCTGTTGATCTGGCTATTGTACTCCTTGATCTTCTGTTCAACCTCAGCCTGAGAAAGGTCAGGTGTCTCCCACTCCACAGGTTCGTCCTGAAAGATGGGCCAGCATGGACACAGGGTCCTAAAAGAACCCATCCCATGGCAATGCATGTCACAGACGGGGAGGTGAGTTTGGCTGGGCCACTTTGAAAAACAGCCTCTGGGGCAGCCTTTGGAAACTACCTACAAAGCTTGAGTCCTGATGAGAAGAACCCACCATTGCTCCCGGTTTTGCATGCAATGGATGGGCACAGCAAAGGCAGAGTCATTTGGCTTCTTTATGCTGCCTACATGGGGCCTCCTCAGCACTGGGTGAAGCCCTCAGGATACCTTAAAACCAAGACAACTGAAGATACAAGGCCAGGGGCCAGGAAAAGATGTGGGATTCTTATTGACAGTAAAAGCACCTTTCAACTACACATTCTGATTCCACCACCCTAGTTAGGTGGGGTCAGGGGTGTTCTGGAGAAGGGGGACCACTTTGCCACTCTGCCCCAGCAAAGGGCCATGACCACAAGGTAAGAGGTGTGGGACTGGTGCACACCAGGAGCCCAGCCAGCTATGGGTATGAGGGTAAGGGCAACCTCTACAATGTTAACACTGTCTGGTGAGGGATTTGGGGCCACCCCTGTATGTCTCACACATAGGGAGGAAACCACTGTGACATGCCATTTGATCTTGACCCAAGCTGTACAAAAGTCAGCTTCAGGCCAGGCTCCAATCGGCCTCCTGGTAGAGCCGGTCCCACAAGTGCCAAGCAGGTAGGCTTCTGCACCTCCTCCCTCCTATCTGGAGGTTTAGCCCAAAGATTTTTTGCTCTACCACTCAGCCCATCCCCTGCTCCTCCAGGGCCTGGATTCTTGTCGGAAGGGTGGAGTATGGACCAGGGCAGCCGGGGCTCTGAATTAACATTTATCTACCAAACTCCCTGGTTCCATTGCATCAGCCTTACTTCCTGTTGACGTCAGGCCCTGGTTGGAATGGGAGTGTCACAGACACAGCTGAGATCACTGCTGACCAATGCTTTGTCCCAGGGGAATTCTTACCAGCTGGTCCCCTGCAGAATAACCTGTGTCCAGCCCTGAGCCCAGGAGAGGCAGGCTTCTCCCTGACTGCTGCCTTGGAGCCCTAAGCTTAAACGATCTGATGGGAATGAATAAGGAGGACAGATGAGAGGGTAGGGTGCTCTTCACCTCGACAGCTTTTTAGCAGTATGCTCTTTACCTAGAACCTGCCAGTAGGTTTAGGGCTGCCCCAGGCCAGGCCACGTAAGTATGTGGCACTGAAGACTGAGGTTGGGGCCTCACAGGGAAAAGGTATTGGGGGAGGTGTGGGAACTGAAGCCTATTTGCTCCCCCAAGTTTCAAAAAAATCTCCTGGAGGAGAGCACTAAGAAGTGAAAACTCCAGCAGAAATCTTACTGGAGGCAGGGAGGAACCCTCCAAGAGTAGTAAAGAACAAATGTGTGGGCCCTGGGAAATGGGAGATCTGGCAGGTAAAATGAAGGCTGGAGCCTGCGAATAAAGGGTGGATGTGTTGGAAGGAGTGACCCAATAGGAAGGAGGACCAGGATGGGAGTGCTACGGGGCAGGAGGAAAGTTGAGCAAACTCTAGTACCAGGGCAAGAAGGAAGAGAATTCTGTTTACAGAACGGCGGGCAGAGATAGCACCAACTTATTTCCCTTCCTTGGATGGTTCTGAGCTCCAGCCTGAGGGTGAGAACACTTGCTACTTCCTCATCCCTTCCCTGGTCACCCAGGAGCCCTGGACTGGGGTGCAGTCATTTATGTTCCAGTCTCTTCCCCTCTCCAGGTGAACCTCCCTTGTGGTTTTTGTTGTTTTCTTTTCTTTTCTTTTTGCCTCCCTCAGTATCTTTACTCATAAAACAAGGGGCTTGGACTGGAGGCACTGCACTGTCCTGCCAGGATTCTAAAAGAAAAAGAAAGTTTTTTTTCTGGAGGATTCCAACAGCCATCCCAGAGGTGTGCACAGCAGGACCATGGAATTTCCCCTTCTCCTGAACTATAGTGATCCACCCTCCACTCTGCCACTGTCCATAGTGACTAATGGTTTTTATTTTACATACAACTGGGGACTCCCCTTCAATTGGTTAGTGTCTTGTGGTTTTCTCACTACTCCACAATGGAAAATGGCTCAAGCCTGAGGGACAGACAGTCCCAGGGATCCACACTCAAACCTTGCACCTAACTCTGGGCTGAACTTTTGAGTAAAATTTAATCTAAAGACTATTAAAATGTTCATCTAAAGAATCACCCACAAGTCCCTTCCCGTGGCTCATGTAAGGAATTCTGTCCCATTGCTGCAAGGTATTCTGAGCTTCACGGTCCCCATCTCTCTTTCCTGATGCTCTGTCCAGGGTGCTCCCCTGAGGTGTACCAGCTCCAAAATAGTTACCTGAGCTTGGTGGTCACACTCATGGCACACAGCACAGAGGTGTCTGGTAATGGGGACACCTAGGAGACTCAGAGAGGAACAGCTGCTCCAGCACCCCATCTTATAGTCCTGGATTAGTAACCCCTATCTCTTTTGACCCCTCCTCCGGGCTTTGTACAATCCAGCCTGCCTCACCTCCTATGGATAAAATGCTCCTGTTTGCTGACAGTCCAGAACTAGGCTTCCTTCCCATCTATTCCTAAATACCCTTCCTACAGGTCCACACCGATTTTAGTATATGTGCTGCCGAAGCGACCACTACAGCCAGGTCCACTCCAGAACCCTCCACATTCCAGAAGCCGGTGGCAGACCAGGACTGGTAAGAAGCGGGGACTCAGCTGGCTCCGTCCAGGAGTGCATATGGAGGGGCCCGAACCTTCCTCCTAAACATACTTCCCAGTTCCCAGCGAGGACACCTCCCCTTCCACTTCCTCCCACCACCCCACCCCCACTCCCGTCCCCCAGAGAGGAGGTGGGAGTGTCCGAACGCGGAAATCGAGGTGCTCGTCCAGACTGCGCAGTCGGCTTTAGTCATAGGTGGATAATGCCCGTCCCGGGTCTACCCCAAGCCACGTAGCTGCTTCTCCTGGTTCAACCGGTCTGTGACAGAAACAACAAGGCCTCGACCCCCGGCACCGAGGCTCCGAGAGCCCCGCACACGGTTCCGCGGGCGGGCCCCGGCCCGGTATGGAATCCCCACTGACGGACGAGCGGGATTGCCCACAAACTCGAGCCAGCAACTTAGCGGGAAGGGGCAGGATCCCAGCGACTGTCGCCGGCCCTCCGCCCCAAATCCCGGCCCCACCTGGTCCCGACGCGGCCTGCGCGCCAGTGAGGTACGCGCCGTGAAGTACTGTTCGAGCTCCGAGTCTGAGTCCTCCTGGCTGCAGTAGCCACTGCTTGTTGTGCTGCTCCAGGTCATCTCGAAAGAAGGCGTCCCCGCATCCGCCTCGCCCATCGCCGCGCCCGCCCGCCAGCTCCCGGAGTCCCGTGTGCCCGTAGACTCCAACCACCGCCCCAGGCGCGTGTGCGCCTGCGCGCGTGCGCCGGGATCGGAGTTCGCGCGGCAACCGTTAACACTGAAACGTAGACAGCCAGGATCTGGCTCTCGTCTCATTGGGGGAGGAACTTCGAAGGGCGGGTTCATACACGCCACGCCTCCAGGAATGACCTCATAGCCCAGGCAGCTCAGCTCGGCTCCGCCTCGCAGACCCCACCTCTCTTGGGGAACAAGTCGGAGCGTGTGCGCATGTGCACCAGCCTGGCCGCAAGACCGGATGCGGATGCGGGAAGGTGGGGGAAATTGCGCGGGCGCGGAGCCTGGGCGATTCCGGGCAGTCTGCGCGGAGTCAGCATCCCCGGAACCCATTCGAGCCCGCGCGCAGAATTAGGCTCTCTCTGTCGCGGGAAACCCGCTGTTAGAACGCTCATTGCGCGTAACGCCGGGCGGCCCTAAGCAACTCCTGCAATGTGGCCGGCTGGTCTGCGCGCCTTTTCCGTACGCTCCCCCCTACCCCGCGCTCACCACGTTCGTGTCCAGCTCCAGCGCAGGTTCCCAGCCCAGGTCCCGGGGCCCGCAGCAGTCCAGGCAGACAAGCGCGCGGCAACGGTAGTGGCATGTGAACTTGCAATCTGCAGAGAGGCCTGGCCGTAAGGAGGAGGAGCCCCAGCTCCAGTTCAGAGAAGCATTCCGGGCATGGAAGAGAACCCAAGGCATGAAGGCCCTTGCCCGCCGGGCTCTGCATGACCGGCCTTATCTTAAGGTCTCGTTACCCCCCGCTGCTGCACGTCCCCCGACGTCTGAAAACTGGCGGGAAGGTCTCAGGCAGTTAGGGATCCAGGCCTGTTGAACAGCTGGATCCCTAGCACCGAGCGCAGAACTGACCCCTTCCGCATTGTCAACGCCCCCCTCCCCCAATCTCCGCGCATTTACTTGAAGGGCAAAAAACCAAAAGCCTTTAACCTTTGTTCCCCTCCAGCTGTCATCTGTCTCTGCATCCCTCGCACCAAAACTTAATCAACATTCTTCTACATACAATCTAATTCCTCACCTTCACTCTCCCCTTTATCCATTCCAGTCAGGCCTGCCCCTCCCTCCAGGAAGCTGGTTAGGGTCCTCAGCAACCTGCGCACGGTCCAGTGCCAGGTCCCTTCATCCTCACCCACTCAGCATCGTTTGATGCTTACTCCCCTTGGCTTCCAGAGCTCCCCACTACCCTGGTTTTCCTCCCGTTCCCTGCAGCTCTTGCTAAGTTCCTTTGGTTCTGTCTCAACTCCCAGATCTAATGGACAGAGTGTCTGAGGTTCAGTCCTGACCACTGCCCTGCTCTATGTACTCACCTATCCCAGATCCAAGGCTTCCATCGCTGACCTCCCTCCCCAGATCAAAGCCCGTGTCAACCCAATGTGGCGAAAGCAATTCTCCTTTCACCTCCCCTCTCCCCTCACCAGAACGCCTCATCTCAGCAAAAATTGCTACTCTCCCAGTTTGAGGTTAAAAAAAAAATCCCATATCACCCTTGATTCCTCTCTTCTATTTGCTTCTGACACACACCCAAATTGTCCTGTATTTCATCTCTATGTCCACTTTATTGCTCCTTGGGAACACTGCAGTGTCCCAGCCCTTGTTCATGGTTGGTAGTCTGTCACAACCCTGGTGTTCAGGACAGACTCTTGTACTGGATGAGAGGGTCTCCATGCCTACACAGGCCTGGGACACCTTCTCTAAATCCCTAAATGGGCCAGAGAAGTGATTTTCAACTGCTCTCAATTCCAGGCTGTCTACTGGAATGATTTTTTTTTTTCCATTTGCTGATACACTCCCAGTGATTGATTGAACAGGTCTGAAGTCCAGGCATAGGGGTTTGGAGGGCTGTAAAATCCCAACCGATTCTAGCTGGTGTATATAGCCCCTGGGGCAGCAACCTCTGCTTGCTGGTGATTCCTGGGAGGGCAGAAGGACCACTGGTGTGTGGTTGTGTTTCATGTTTTAGCACCTGGTTGGCTGGGCCTGCAATAGGTATTTGCTCAACAAAACTCCCGCTTGCAGGGGGCCCACCCAAGGTACTTTTCCTCTGCCCCCCTTCCATAGGAGGGGAAAACTCCCCTCATCCCAGACATTCTGGAGGGGGACACAGTGAATGAATCTTTGGGAAGGGGTGGGGCTGGGAAGAGGGACTTATAGAGATTGGTCGAAACAAAGCCTTTCTCAAGAAAAGCCAAGACACTTTAAAAGATAAAAAGCTTGAAATCACGTTATTCATAGTTATTCATAGGCAGCCGCCTCTGCGCAACTGTGCCCCTGATGCAGGTGGAATAGGACAAGGATATACACCATCTATCTGCCTGCACTCTCGTACACGATGGGGCAAAGGTAATGGACCTGGCCCGCGGGAACCGACCCTGCCGACCGACCCCCTCCTTTGCGACTTGACACGCAGCGAGGGCGCTGCCTCTTGGCCGCCCGTTTCGCTCTCGCCAGCGCGCGGGACTGCTACTCACGCGCGCACTGCAGGCCCTTGCGCACGACGCCCCAGATGAACTCGCCGCAGAGGTCGCACCACGTGTGCGTGGCGGGCCCCGCGGGCTGGAAGTGGTGGCCGCGGCCCGCGACCAGCTGCCGTGTCGCATTGCGCGCGGTGCCGGGCGCGATGCGCAGCGCGTTCGCGCGCTCCAGCCGGGTGCGGCTCGGGCCGGAGCGCCGCGCGGGTTCCAGTTCCCTCAGTTCAATGAGCTCAGGTTCCGTGGACATGGCCGGGTCGGGCCCGGACTGCCGCCGGCTCTGGGCGCGAGCGAGCGCGGGGCGGGCGGGGCCGCGGGGCGGGCCGCGATGCGGCACCGCCCCCGGGATCCGGGCAGGGCGGCGGGAGAGAGCCGGGGCGAGCAGCGCAATGGAAACCTGGGCGCCCGGGCTGTGTGGGCCCGCAGGCGGAGTCGGGTGGCGAGCGCGTGGGGTGGGGGGCGCTCTCGCAGAGTCCCGGCGCTCCCTTTGCTTTTCTCCCTGCATCCCGGGAGCATCCCTCCTGCTGACGACGACCACCACCACGAAGGGCCACTCGGAGACAGGCTGTTTCTAGAGGCTAGCTTTACTGTGCTAGAGTAACAGGGTCCCCACATCCGGCCCTTGTCTTTGCCCCCGCCCAGGCCTCCTGCTCCAGCTTGCTGAGGCAGCGCCCTCAGCCTACCCGCTGGGTAGGGCAGGAAGCGGGGAGCCCTTTGCTGGGGAAGATGGGTCAGCAGCTCACTGTGCTCGCTGTGCTCACCACCTGGGAGGCTGGGGCTCTGGCAGAGGCTAGGCTGAGATCCTGAGGTTCAAGGGCACACTCTGGGTGGGTTGTACAGCATGGGTGGTTGGCCCTCACAGCTGCAGCCTTCACTTGGCTCTGTCACCTCGGGCTGCCAGGACACAAGCCTTTCCATGCTTCTCCCAGTGCTTGACTTGGCACTCCCTGCAGGCAGACGGGCTGGTGAGCATGCAGTGCTTGCGGGGGTGGGGGAGGGTATGGAAGTGGGGCTTAGGGGTCCAGGGTCCTAGGATACCCTCACCTGCAGCAATACCATTCATTCTGGCACCGTGAGCAGCGTTTGGAGGCCTCTGCACTGCAGAAGGCACAGCGGGGCCGCTCTGGAGTTACTGCCTCTAGGACATCCAGCCTGTAGGTCTCAGCCCATCTAGGAAAGGGGTCAGGAGAGCCTGGCTGGGCCTGGCCGGTGGGGGCACAAGAGCACCCCTGCCTGTGTCCATGCCTTCTGCATCCCTCCCACCCCTTCTGCCCACTCAGCAGGCTTCACCTTCTTGCCTGCAGCCGCAAGTCCTGCTCTGAGGGGCTGAATATGTGCCTCAGCTGGTGCTTGGCAATCGCCTGCCACTTGCCTCTGTTGTCTCTCTCTAGCCGCTCCCAGATTTCTGGGATCTGAGGGAGAAAAGTGGAAAGCGCCAGAGAGGAGCTGGCAAAGTGGACAGTGGTCCTGAGCAACTGACGTCCTAGTACCTACCTGCTCCAACACCAGGTCCTTCTTAGGGAGCTGCGTTTCAGTCAGGGCCAGGTGGGCCAGGAAACCCTGCAGGTCTGCCAGGTTGGGCAGCTGGTCAAGCAGTATGTCTGTGAGGAAGGCCCGAAGCTGCAAAGGAGTCCAGGGAAGGCCAGCGTGAAGTGGTGCTGACCAGAGGAGGCCTGCGCTGGGCTAGGCTGGGCTGAGGTGCCTGTGGGGACCATGTCCCACTAGCTGCTGCAACACCTGAGGTTCAGGGTCTAGAAAGAGGACTGGGGCTGAGGTAGGTGGGCAGTGATTAAACAGCAGGGCTGGGCTGGGGTGGGAGGGGGTGGCGCTGGTGCAGGAGGAGTTCCCCACCTTGAGTAGCTGTCCCTTGGCAAAGCTGGTGAGGCAGTAGCGAGCCCGGGCTTCAGGGTTTAGTAGCAGGTTGTACAGAGCGATCCACACCTGCCCATCCAGCTTGCTCAGCTTTTGCTGCTCCGAGGGGGCCACTGTCTGCCAACGGCCACCCTCAAATTGCTGCAGCTTGCCTGGAGAGAGGAGCCAGCACACTAGGGGCAGGTGTGCGCACTCTTGCAGTCAGCCCACTGCAGCTGCATGGGCTGGGGTACTGACCACTGCCCGGGCGCAGGACTTGCCCAGGCTGGGGTGCTGCTTGCTCCAGAGCAGAGGGAGTCCTTAGTAGTGGACACAAAGGCCTTCCCTAATGCAGAGCCCAGGTCCAAGCCCATCTTGCGTGAGGCATCCTGGGATCCTCTATGAGCTAGCAGGCAGAGTTTGTCTGCCGGCGTGCAAGCTGCCTGTCCCAATCAATCCTGGAGAATGTCTGGGAAGCAGTGAGCTGGGGCTTGGGCAGGTGGGGGAAGACCTTACCTCCTTCCTGCCGCCTCCAGGGACTGTGTTCCAGCAGTTCCACCAGGAGGCAGGGCAAGTTGTGGGTAGTGAGCATGCGGTTCAAGGTGCTCAAGGAAAGGCTAAGGGTGGTGGTGGAGAGAAGTGAGGCTACAGGGCCGGGATCCTAGTCCTCCACCGTGGGTCCCAGGCCTGGCAGGACTGCCCACCTGTCCACACAGTCTGTGATGTAGCGCAGCACCGAAAGGGCCTTCAATGCGATCTCAAACTCCATCAGCTCTGCCTGCTTCTGCAGCTCCTGGGGGGGGGGGGCACATGGTGCTCAAGCTGGGTCACCCCCTGCCTGCTCAGGCCTCAAGAGAGCCTGGTCTACCCATTGGCACCCCCAGGGAGCCTCAGCCTACCTGTATGGGGGTGCTGTACTGGGACTCCTCCTCCTCAGGAGGGCCACCACGGCCACTCCGGGCCACCAGAAGAGTCAGTTTTCGGTGGCAGTAGTCTACCAGGTCCAAGACAGTGTCCTCTGCTGACTCACACACCTCCTGAGAGGCAGGCAGAGGGGAAACATTCTGTCTCTGATGCTCTCCCCACACAACCACAACCCCCCTTCCCTGTCAGGCCCTAGCCTGGGGCAACGGCTGGTGGACAGGGCTGATGCCTCACCTTGTGGAAGAACACTGTTTCCAGAAGGTTGATGATGGAGGCCTCGTGGTGTAGCTGTCAGATAAAGAGAACAGGGCCCAGAGCTGCTGAAGGAAGGATGGGATTACTAGCTCTCTTCTCAAATCCAGAGCCCTCTAAAGGCACGGGCAGGGTGTGAGCAGGGGCCCAGCTCACCACCATGTATATGGGAAAAGTGTTCTGGGGCTTGAAGTCCTCCAGCCTGCACAGCACAGGGAACACCTTCTGCTTCCACATCTCCACTGCGATCAGCTCCTCCACCAGCGTTGGGATCTTTGAGGGGGAGGGGAAAGGACGGGGAGGAAGTAGGCCTACGTTGGCCTGGCAACCCATCCATCCCTGGCTCAGCCCTGTCTGACTCTCCTCAAACTCCCCTGGGCCCCTAGGTTCTCTCCATAGGCACCTTCCCAACCTCTCTCCTGCACCTTAGACCTTCATTTCTAGTTGCCCTCAATATCTCTGTGGGGACATTCCCCATGCTTCCTGTAACTGGCTCTTGCCTTGTCCTTAGGCTGCCTTGCTCCCCCTACATCGACGCCCGTCTCCCCTCTGTCCGCATCCAGGTGTTCCTCTCAGGCTAGCTCTCGTGCTCATGCCCTCCCTCTTGTCCCTGTCGTCTGGTCTTCCAAGGTTCTCATGTGCCTTGACCTCATCTTTACTCCTCAGGGCCCTGCACAATTTCCTAGTCCTCTCCCACCCTCCAGTAGGGGGCTCCACCTTTTCTTTGCAAAGGGACCTTTTTGTTAAGTGATATCTCAGGTCATTTATTTGAGCCACTTCCTGGCTCATGTTCCAGCCGGGCTGATCTCTGGTTTCTTACTCCTCTCTCAAGTTAGGAAGGCTGCCTCCTTCCATGCCAAAGTCCCACCCCCACTTCAGTGAGGGCCCCCTCTGGCCTGACAGTCTATTCAAGGATGTCTTTAGAACGTGGGCCCTCACCCCACAGCCTAAGTTGTTGTATGATCCATGACTATCTCCCAAACCAACCCACGCCTCACACTTGGCCTGGTGTGCCAGGGTCCTGTCCAAAAGGGGTGAAAAATCAAATGTGTAGCACACTTCTCTCTTTTCCCTTGGGGAAGATAAGTGTACCACCCAGAAGGAAGTGAAGGCACCCAAGGTGCTCCTGAGAAGGACAGTGGTGGGGTGGGAGGTGGTGAGAAGGCAGGAACCCTGCCTGTGACCCCAGCATACCTTCCCATGGGTGACCAGCAGCTCCTGGATGGGCTCCCCCTGGCTGGCTGTAGCATCAAGGATAGCCTGCATGTTCAGCTTCTCCAGGTTCTCATGCTGCTGGTTCCACCTGCCCCAGAGAGCGGAGGTGTATGTGCATTTGGGTGCTCATGTGTGCAGTAGGAGTGGGGTGCGGGCTGGGTCCTATTGAAGCCTAACTTGATCTTGAGCGGCCAGAGGGGGCTCAGGGCCATATACCCCCCAACTCGGAGAGCTTTGTCTCCTCACCTGGGGGCTCCTCCACACTGGGCACCCTCTCCCCCATGTCAGGCCCATACTCCTCCATTCAAGGGCTCTGACCCTTGGACCCAGCTGCCTCACCCTCCGGAGCCCATATCGCGCAGCGGGAAGCTGCGCAGCCCCCGCACCAGCACGTCAGCCTCCCCCGGCAGTAGCAGCTCCAGGTCGCCCATGTTGTGGCCGCAGACAGAGCGGGAAGGCGGGGCTCAGCTGACCCCGGACAGCAGCCGGCGCTGAGGTGGGGCTGCTGAAACTCTCGGGGACGAAGGTCTCCCGCGGGGGTCCAGGTCTTGGACACTGCCGTTGCCGAGCGGTTGGGGCGCGTGGGTCCTCGCCGTCATGGAAACGGTTAGCTCGGCGCCTGCGCAGTTGCGGCCCGCACAGGCTCCGGCCCCGCCCCCGGCCGCCTTGCCTTCCCGGCGGTGGGTAACAACCCTCTTTGGACTCCCACAACTTTCTCCCTCACCTCCGACTGCGGCTCAAGGGTCTGCCCTGAGTGCCAGTCGGACGTCAAGTCGACCCGCACAGGGATAAGGCCACCCTGCCCCCACCAGCTCTTCCAGCAGCGGCTTCACCTCGGCCGTACGGATGCTCCTCTCCGTGGCTTCCTCGCCCCAGTGTCTCGCGCCCGGCTCCACCTGTTGGCTCAACGCCCCCCCCCGCTCCCTCTCAGTCCCCCCCCCCCCCTCGCTCCCCCCCCCCGCTTCCCCCCCCCCCCCCCCCCCTTTGTTCCCCTCCCCCCCCCCCCCCCCCCAGGTACTGCGCAGGGCTCCTTCTTTTTAGCCTAGCAGGCTGCCATCACCTCTTATGAGGTAACTGCTGTAGTCTTTTCCTGGGTGACTCTATGGCTGCTTCTAGCCCTCGAAATAGTATGTCCCAAAGCAGCTTACCAGGAACTCTGCAGTGTCAGGCTCTTGCCCCCTCAGTACCTCGGGACTTCCATTTCTTGCCCCCTCCCCATTGCTTCCTATGTTCCAGCCCCGTGGGCTCTCTTGGGTTCCTCATGCATCCTAAAGCTGTTTTTGCTTTAGGGCTTCTGCACCTGTTCCCTCTGCCTGGAATACTCTTCTTCCTTCAAGCCTCAGTTCAGGTCACCTCAGCGAGGCCTTCCTTGCCCAATTAATCCAGAACAGACCCAACTCCCACCCCAAGTCATCATCAGCTTCCTCATTGATTTTCTGGCTATTTCAATTAATAATCAGCGGGCACATTTACTTGTCCATAGTCAGTCCTGCCCACCAGATGGCGCACCAGGGCACCAGGACCACGGCTATTTCACTGCCAGTTCTCTGGTGGCTGGATCAGAGGCGGTACTCAATAAACGTAAGTTGAAATGGATGATTTTATTTACAGAAGTGAGGGTCACCCTGAGACAATATGGACTAGTCTACCAGTCTAGCCCTCATGCACCAGGGAGTGCTTAGCAGGAGAGAGCCCCCACCAGCCTCACTTCCAGCAGATGATGATGTTGGGGTCATTTTCCAGCCGTTCATCAAGCTCGTGGTAGCTCATGCCTGTTTGGGACAATGCAGGTGAGGTGAGCAGTCTTGGATTGGCCACCTGCCCTGACCCCACCCCAGCTGCACTGCCTGTCTCCACCTGTCTTGCAACAGATCTCATCATAGCTGTGGCAGCCTGTGTAAAGCCGGGCAGGGTGGCTCCGCTCCTCCCGAGACACCCGCACAGGGTACTTCTGTAGTCGGCGGATGAGGTTCTTCATAAGCCCAAACTGGATCAGCTTCCTGGGGTGGGGTTGAGGGAGAGAGGGGTGATGCCCTGGCCAGGCCTTCCTCCAGCCAGGCCAACCCTTTCCTGCAGTCTCCCTTCTGATTTTGTCTCACTGACCAGGCTGGCCTCCAAACCCATCACCACCAGAAAGCCTGCCTAGACTAGTAGTGCCACACGATTCTGCTCACTGGGAATCTCCTGCTTCCTCTCTAACCTAAGGCTCCAGAGAGATGTAGAGTGTATCTGCTTTCAGGCAAACCCCTCATGCCCCTGGGAATCCCCTTCTGACCGTTCATCAACGCGCTGCAGCTGCTGGGGGTGGCGGCCAATGAGGTCTCTCACAGTCGTGCCAGGGCTCAGGCTGCAGTACAGCTGGAACACATCCCGGAGACTGGCCCTCTTGTGCCCTGTGGGCACCAGGGGTCAGCTCTGCAGGTGGCCCTGCCCTCCCCAAGATGGCCCCCCCAAAGCCCACCACTACCTTGTTTGGTCACATAGGATAAACACGCCTCTTGCAGGGACTTGTCATCTACCAGGTCCTGGACCTTGGGTGTCGGGCAGTACACGTTGGAATACTGGAGGGTAGGCAGGAGGCACAGGGGCCTGAGTGAGGGGCTTGGAAGTCTGACACCACCCCAGTCTGGCCAAGCCACGCAACTCACTCTCTGCTTAACCAGACCCCAGACTCACCTACCTGGAGGATGGACACCAGTGTCACAACGCCATAATACCTGGGGGAGATAATGTGCTCAGCTTCTGGGGGCCATGCCTTCCCACCTTCACACTCAGGGTCCTGGGGCTCTTCCCTGGCTAGCAACCCTGTCCCAAGTGTGACTGCTGCTCCACTCACAGCAAGTTCTGGATGGCGATGCGCACCAGGTTTAGCTCCACATCTGCCTCGGCTGAGATCTTCTGCACATGGCGGAAGCCATCAATATAGGGCAGGATCTGGGCAGGGCAGGGTCAGTAGGGGTGGGATGAGGCCAGAGCTGTGGCCAGCCCTAGGTGATGATCCCCAGGGAGGGAGAGCACACCTGTTGTGTGGTGAGGTCCCACTGTGAGTTGAAGAAGTCTTCCTTGTCCTTGGTAAAGACAGGCACATCATACTCCTGTGCCACAGGAGGGTCAGGCCGCTGCTCAATCACCTTCAAGTGGATGGTGTTGGACTCATCTGCAGAGGCCCCACCCATATCTTCAGTATCATCTCTTTCAAGAGGCCCTCAATTACCCTCCAGTCCTCCCAGCAACTCTTGAGGCAGGTGGGTGGCCCTGGGTAGGGCCAATCTCCTCCAACCCCCGCTTTTCTTAAGCTCTCTGTCCAATGTGGGGCTTGAACTCATGACCTCAAGATCAAGACTCACATTCTCTACTGACTGAGCCAGCCAGGAGCCCCCAATCTTCCCCTTTTATGGAGCAAGAGACAGGTCCGGAGAGGGAAGGGAACATACCCATGGAACATGGAGAGTTCTTCTGGCCTCCATATCTCAAATCCCAACATGCACTGGACCCTGGACATCATTAACCCAGCTCATTGGGCCACCAATTTGTTCATGAGTCTTGTCCATGGCTGGGCTTGCCTTTCCCTTGCCATGTTCCTATCCCTCCTCTACCCCTCTGCTGTCCTTGCAAAGGCTGGGCCATACCGATGGGCAGAGTGCACCGGCCTGAGGCATTTAGCTCCTCCAGCAAGATGGTCATGATGGGCACCAACTTCTGCTTGCTCTCCTCTGTCGACACGAAGCTGCTCTCTAGCTGGATGGAGCATGGACAACATGGTGGGCACACCCCAGGACCCCTGGCTGGCATCCTGCCCTGGCAGATACCCAGGTCTGGAGGGCTTTGGAAACATTTGTCTGCCTGCCCCTCCACTCAAGCCCATCATGTTGCAGACCTCCAGTGTGGTCAGGTAGCCAGCCAGCTTTTTGACGATGGGCTCAAGGGCACAGGTCTTGGCCTGGGCATCACACACAAAGCCTAGGTTGAAAAGCAGGGCATTGCGGCTGTACTTCTTGTGTTCAATGCACACAGGGCAGCCGATCAGTTTCTTCTCCATGGCTGTGCTGGATGGGGGGGAACAGGTGGGAGCAAAGTCAGGCTCCTTCTGCCCCCAAGCTTGTCCACTCCTCGGGGGACATTCCCTCCCTTCCCCACTAGGGCCTCACACAGTGATGAGCTTGTTCTGCAGCTCTGGCTTGGTGATGATGTACACCTGGACTGTGTCAAACAGCTCCCGGGAGATGAAATCTTCAGGGACCTGGGGAGGGGTGTGGCAAGAGTCCCCTTAGTGGACCTTGGGACTAGGCAGAGTATACTGGGTGACCCCCAAGGCCTAAGCCCTGTTGTCCAGTGTTTCTCCTCTCTCCCATCCACCCAGACCTGCTACTACTTTGTGTTTCCAAACACATGCCATGTTCTCATCTGCCTCCTGGCTTTTGCATATGCTGTTTCCCCTACCTGGCACACTCTCTCCTCCTCCATCTAAATTCCTAGGCATCCAGGAATACTATTGGACCGCACACCCCTCGCCTCTCTTGGGACCTTGAACCTTTCCTGGGTCTCCACAGCCCGATTTCCCACAATCACTGCCTATGAGATGTTTGCCCCGACACACCGGGAGCCTGGGACCTGGGTCTGAGTATCCTCTCCGTTCACGATTCTCCGCGAATGAAGGAGTGGTATGCCTGCGTGCAGCATGGGGCACGGGAATCCACCGCTTCCAGGCAGCTTCCTCAGCTTCCAGGAGCGTCCCTCTCCCACCACCCTCACCACCCCAGCCCCCGGCCCCGCGAGCCCGGATGGCACCTGATAGGTGATCTTGGGTCCCAGCGTGGGGTGGAACTCGCTGAAGAATATGCATTCGATGCGGCAGCCGCTGCCCATGGCGCTAGCAGGGCCCAGGTCTGTAGTGCCTGGCGCCTGGACCCCTGCAAACACCGTCGGAAACAGCCCTCAGGCCTGGATCGCCAGGTCACGCACGCCTGCGCACTCACACACCCGTAAGCTGTCTGCTTAACAGCGCCTGCGCAGAGCGACTGAGAGGTGTGGCTGGGGGTGGGGGAGTTTGTCTCGGGAAGTCCCGGCTGGGTGGACGTCGCACCCGGAAGTGAAGCGGCTCCGCGACGGAGCGGCAGCGCGCGCGGCAGTGCCCCAAGTATCCCGCTTTCTCGGGAAGAAACCACCGCATCGGGTCAGCGCTGAGGCAGGCGAGTCCCTAGCGTGTAGGGGCAGCATGCCAGCGGCACGTGGGGAGACTGTACGCGAAGGGATTCAGGCTGTAATTTGATACGCAGACGGGAACTACAATACCCGTAGTGCCTCACGCCCTTCTAGCTGGCGCTCCCGCGCGGCGACGGCGTGATGCACGCTGGGATTTGTAGTCTATTACACGGCCTTGCGCATCCTACCTGGAAGGTGGGCCAGTGATCAGTGCCAGTTCAGATGCGGGTACAGGCCGACAGGCCGCCGGTCCTCGACTATTCCTGCTGCCTGTGTTGGTACTGCCCCTTCCTACCTTAACTTCTTGGAAGAGAGTGGCATTCCTGCCCTGCAACTTTTGCTCCAGTGAGAGGAGTGGACAGCAGGCACCTGAGACCCTTGCTCATTCTACTATGCTTTCAGGCTACAGCCATTGGCCTGGTTGACCATGGCCCTTTCTGTGGAGACCGAGTCGCACATCTACAGAGCTCTGCGCACTGCCTCTGGGGCTGCTGCCCACCTTGTGGCCCTGGGTTTTACCATCTTTGTGGCTGTGCTTGCCAGGCCTGGCTCCAGTAAGTAGAATTCATAGTTGACTTCTGGGAAGGAAAGCGGCCCTTCTCCTGGGGAGCAGGAGCAATAGGAAGCCTTGGGCCTGACTCCCAGGAAAGGCTTGCCTGGCTGGGGGACATCCTATGCTGGAGGGATGAGTGGGGAGGAGGTGAGTGTGGGGGCTCTACCAGTTGGGCTAGAGTACCTGGCTTCTCTTTCCTTGTCTTGGTGTTCCACTTGGCTGCCTTTGGTGAGGTGCTAGAAGGAGGGAGGACTGCCAGAGTGGCAAAGCATGGCCTCTGCCCCAGGGAGGGACCAGGAAGCAAGGATAGGTAGGGGGTGAGCTTGTTGCAGTAAGAGGGGCTAGCATTTTGGCAGTGCTTCGTTGGGTGAGGGGCAGCTCATTTTCCTCACCCTGTGGGGATTGGTGTGGCTGGGTTCTTCTTGCCTCAGCCTCACAGAATCTCCTTTTCATTCCAGGTCTGTTCTCCTGGCACCCCACGCTTATGTCTCTGGCTGTAAGTAGCGCCCTGGCCAGCTCTTAGGGGTGGGAGGGAGCATAGGTACCGGTGGTAGTCCTGACAGCCTCTGAATCCTTATGGACACTTAGTATCTCTTTAGAGGGATGGAATGCGGGATTGGAAGAGTTGCATGCTCCACCTCCTGCCCTGCGGTATATATCCCAGACTTGAACCACAGTGTTCAAAACCCAGGGCAAATCGGTCTAAGCACAAAATGAGACTTCACCCACCTCCAGGCAGGAAGCTTAGAAAATGCATTTGGGTGGGTGCCTGGGTGGCTCAGTTGGTTAAGCGACTGCCTTCGGCTCAGGTCATGATCCTGGAGTCCCAGGATCGAGTCCCGCATCGGGCTCCCTGCTCAGCAGGGAGTCTGCTTCTCCCTCTGACCTTCTTCCCTCTCATGCTGTCTCTCTACCATTCTCTCTCTCAATAAATAAAAAAAAAAAAAAAAAAAAAGAAAATGCATTTGGGTGTACCTGTGTCCCCTTTTACCGAATTTATAGTGATGCATCGAATTTTCCCTGAAACAGTGCACCCATGTGGCCAGCTCTTGCCAAGAAATTGTATCCAGCCCCGTGTCAGGGAAACAAAGCCTGTGAATCATTTATGACTGCCACGTCTCAAACCTAGTATTTGCTGGGTAATATAGCAGAGATGACGTTTCACAATATCACCTAGGAAGGAGTGTGGAGAGGTACATACTTCTCGCCAGTTACTCAGGGCAGATGTTCTGTCCTTGAGAGTTCCTCACTCTTGCCCCACCCAAATGGATACTCTTGTCGATGAGAGAATGAAGAGGGGGACTCTGCCCAGAGTGGCTGGCAGTTTAGAAAGTTATCTAAATCTTTTTCCTTCTGCTGGGCAGCACCCTGACTTTGTTTCCCATCCCTTTCTCCCCAGTTCTCCTTCCTGATGACCGAGGCACTGCTGGTGTTCTCTCCGGAGAGTTCGCTGCTGCGCTCCCTCTCGCGGAAGGGCCGAGCACGCTGCCACTGGGTGCTGCAGCTGCTGGCCCTGCTGTGTGCACTGCTGGGCCTAGGTCTTGTCATCCTCCACAAGGAACAGCTTGGCAAAGCCCACCTGGCCACGTGGCATGGGCGGGCAGGGCTGATAGCTGTGCTGTGGGCAGGCTTACAATGCTTGGGTGGGGTGGGGCTGCTCTACCCTAAACTGCTGCCCCGATGGCCCCTGGCTAAGCTCAAGCTGTACCATGCCACTTCTGGGCTAGTGGGCTACCTTCTGGGTAGTGCCAGCCTCTTGTTGGGCATGTGTTCACTCTGGTTCACTGCCACAGTCACTGGTGGGGTCTGGTATCTGGCTGTGCTGTGCCCTGTCATTACCAGCTTGGTCATCATGAATCAGGTGAGCAACGCCTACCTGTATCGCAAAAGGATCCAGCCATGAGCTCCTCCCAGCCTAGAAGCCTGGATATGCCCCTCAGTGTAGTAGCTGGGGCTGGGACCTCCTGGATTCTCTCAGCCAAGTCATGGGGACACCTCAGGCACTGGGGCCGTGTAGAATAGGAGTCTTGTGTGTGACATTTTTGCTTGCTCCTCATCCTGGAGTGCTTCCCCTTTCCTTCTGTACTGTCCCAGAGGAGCTTATGGATGATGTGTCCAGATGAAGTTGGGGTTGCAAGACTACTTCCCCGGCAACTCAACTCATACTTGTACTGGTATGTCCAGAAATTATAGGAGAGAAAAAAGCAAAATAAAAAAGAATGACTGAAAAGACTGGATGGGAGAAATAGCTTAGAGTTGGGGAATAGTTCTCGCTAATGCTGTCAGCATGAAAAAACAGGCAGCTGGGCAAGATGGGGACGCCTGTCCCTGGCTGCTTACCGAGGGGCTGAAGCTCTCCCAGCACATGAGCTCCTAGGATCTGGCTGCTGAGCGGCCTGTGCCACCAGGGTCCTAGAGCTGTAGGATCAGCTGTGTGTCCTCTCAGTTCCCCAGCTGCCCACTGTGCTGGCGTCTCCAGACTGTGGTGGTTAGATGTGGACAATGACAGGGTGGGAACTTGGGATGGGCTGTTTCCATAGGTGTCAAGCACTGAGAACTCTGTTTTGGGGGTGAGCCATCAATAAGAACAGCTCTTTATGATAGAGGGGCCCTCAACCATCACATCATCTGGGCAGGGCCTCCCTGACTGGGAATCAGAGGGAGAGAAAATGAGTAAGATCTGAAGTGATAGCTCTGGGGAGATTGTTTTAACAGTGGGCATGAGGTGGTAAGGCAAAGTGGAGTAATAGGCTTCTTATTCAGTTGGAGTTGCCATGGAGACCAAGCCCTTGAACCTAAAGTCCCTAACTTTGCAGCTGAACATGATGAGGGGGCTGCACAAGGTGGTCTGACAGAGCCCAGGAGCCATACCTCAAAGAACTGCTTTATTGATACTGCGAGGATGGGCCTGGCTGCCCACTCAAGTGGTCCTGTAGAAAATACTTGGGAGCTGTGGCTCTTCTGGCCCAGAAGCAACCATAGCCACAGCAGAGGGAATCGGAAATCTTCACATGAACAGAGTCTTTCTGAGGGTGGGCAGGGAATTGCAGCCCTGCACTGGCTGGACCCCCAGAACGTTTTTGGCAAATCCTTGCCTTGGCTCAGGGCTCTTGGCAACCAGTATCAGGCATAAAGGTTGGCCCAGGGGCTGTGGCGCCAGTGTCCCTGTAGCCACTTGCTTGGGGTTATCTGCTGAGGTACAGTCTTACCTCAGATGGCCTGGGCTAGCTGATGGTTCAGAGGCCCCATGCCTGGCATAGTGGTTGTCTGGAGTTGGAACCAGGTAGCAAGAGTCCCGGGTAGTGTTGGCGAGAAATAGCAGAAGGCTGTGGAAACCCCCAGCAGGCCTTCTTCCCTCTCCTCAGAGCGGTCAGGTGCCCTGGAGTAGCCAAGAGGTGTCAGGGGGAGCTTGGGAGAGGAGGTGCTACACTCAAGGTGGTCTGGAGTTACAGCTTCGGGGGAGCTGCCTCGAAGGTGATCAGGCTGGATTCTGGGGCAGCCCCCTTTCCTGGGAGTGTGGGGGTCTTGTCTGAGGGTAGCGGGCTATCCACCTTGGCCCCTGCCTCCTCTTCATCGTCGTCCATGCTTGGCCAGACGGACTGGTCCTCCACTCTCTTCAGCCGCTCGTTGAGGGCCTTTAGGGCCAGTTGCCTGGAGCCAGAGGAGATATGACAAGTCACTTGGTTGGATGTGGCTCATGCCCTATATTCTTCCCCCATGAAGCTGACTCTCCCTACCACCCAGACTTCTCTCAGAATCCTGTGTATTCCCCTTCACCACGAAGGGCCCAGGGCTCCCCAGGGACTGGGTAGGGCCCACTCTGCCATCGGAAAGAGGACCCAAAGGCTATATACAGCCTTCCCTTCATAGTCCTGACACCTCCAGGCTAAGAAGGCCAGCAGGGTGTCTGCCAGACTGCCCACCAGGCCAGCTTCAGGAATGATTCTGAGGGTGGTGCCTAAGCATGGGCAGAGCTGGTACCCCAAGGAAGATGGGTAGCAGGGTAAGTCCCTGGGATGTGGGCACTGGTATCGCATCCAAGGAGAGGATTATGATGTCTCTCTCCTTGTTAGGTGTGTTTTGAGTCTCCTGGCAAGGGTCTGAGGGGAATGCTGGAACTCAAGCACCTATCTTGGATCTCAACCTGGGAAGCAGGGCCAACTTGGGTCAGCCCATCCCTCCTAACTGACTTCAATGTTCTTCCCAGAAGAATCCCCACAGCCACCAGGACCTGTGTTAGAGCAGGGACACACCAAGTTCCTGCAGAAAGAGAAAGAGGAACAGCTTATGTGTGTAGGACACAGGCCAGAGCCTACTGGTTCCACTGGATAAACCCTTTTGGACTTCACTTTGGGGAGAGGTGGGAAAGTTGACTGGAAGGTGTACACGTGCACTTGGGACCCTAGTCTACCCAGGAGTGGAACACCCATGCTGCCAGCTAATAATACTTCCAATAGTGGTCACCGTGGAAGCCTGATGCCTTAACCTGTCTATGCTCCAAGTAGGGGGAACAGCCTGTGATAGCCTTCCAAGTTCCAGCAGAGAAGCAAAACCTCCAAATGCCAGGGAACATGACAGGAAAGGCAACAAGAATATGGGCACAGAAAACCCTAGCCCAGTTCCACCCTGTCACATGGCAGACTGGCATAGACAGGACAGTTCCCTGTGCTACCCAGGCTCCAATCCTGGAGACAGCCTTGTCAATTCTGTCTAAAGCCTGCTAAAATAGAGAGGTAGTGGCATACTAATCACTTGTTCACAAGGGTCAAAGATAGGAAACCCTGCCTCCCAGTACTAGTAGCCCTTTTGGGTTTGGGAGGGGCATTCTGCCAGATGCCCAACTGGTTGGAGTAACAACCACAAGACTATGCCAAGAACCTAGCTCCTGACAACCTTCCCTACCCCAGCTTGCCATTTTCTTGGGCCTGAGCAGAGGTGCTTTGAATCTCCAGCCAACCCTAACAAATCCAAGACTTCTCACTAAAGGCGGAGTCACCACCGGGCCCTGGCTCCACCTGCAGAGCTCTGGGGACAGCTCAGTTTCTGCTAGATCCAGCCTTCTTGGTCCCACTTCCGCCACTGGATAAAGTGAAGACAGACCTCAATCTTTAGAATTCATCAGCCATAGAGACACGAACCATCGGGGCCCACAGTCATGCCTCGCAGCATGCTTTGTGCACTTTTCAACACCCACCGCCTTGGGCCATAGTAATCTGTGGCCCTTCCCCAGGTGGAAACTCCTTCAAGAAAGGGGTGTGTCCCACGCTCACTGCCACAGCCCCAGTGGAGAGTAAGCACAGGGATAACCTTTCAGGTGAATTCATAAAGCTGCCTGCCAAGAATCCATTTTACAGGTGAGCAAAAGTAGAAGCCTTTGACAAACAGAAAGTAGGAACAGAGCCTGCTCTAGATTTCACTACTAAAGTAACTGCCTCAAAAAAAAAACTTCAACATATAACGTTGGAAATGGAGCTGTGACAACTCTGGTGAGTCTATAGACCTGGCAGAGAGAGAACTGGATTAAAAAAGATCTGCCCTGCCCTGGACAAGATGCATTCAATGAATAATTCCGCTGGGACTGCAGATGGTGCAGATGACTTGGTTTACAGATAATGAAGAAGGTTGCCTCCACTCCCTGTGTGGTCAGCAGGCTCCCGCGGTGGGTCACATGGCCTGTCCCTTGGGTGTGGTGACACATACATGCTGGAAGGATGCGGTGGTAAATCTAGTAATACCCCAAGGTTCCCCCTCAATAAATAAGTGGCAGAGAAGCACAGCATCTGAATTAAGACCCAGGAAGAGGATATGGTTCAGCATTTTGAAATTGGGGTGGCCCAGACCGCCTCGTAAGGAAGGTCTCCTTGTCTGTCCCTCCCTCACTGGGGAAATAGGACAAGCAGGTTGTTTCTGGCTCCCACAGGACCAGTGTCTAGGATTCCAAGATTCTGAGACAAGGCCAGGATTATGTGTTTGGCCCTCCATTAACCCCTCACACAGTACCAAAGGAAACTAGACATTTCTTAGAACTTGTTAAGTGGCCTGGGTGGTGAGAAAGGCATATTGCACTCCTTCATGTTGGAAAGCACTACTGGAGCCCAGCACCTAGTTGCTGAGGTTCTCAAAGCCACAAACTGGATTTTATCTCCTGAGTCTGCCCGAACACCTGACCCTTGGCTGCCAGCCAACACAGCAAGCACAACAGATGGAACGGTACTTGATCAATAAAAACTCTCTTAGCTTAATAAGGTTTTGGAAGACTCCACAGTACCTTCTCCGCTCCGCATCCTGAGGGTCTGTGCCTGGGAGGCTGATGGTGATGGAAGATGGGGCACCTACATCATAGCGCTTCACTGTCTTCTGGCATATCTTTACCTTCACCAGGAGACTGTGCACCAAGTTCGCCAACAGCCCCACCACAGGCTGCAGGATCTCAGGGAAGAAGGTGGCAAAAGCAAAGTGGTCAGCCATGTCCCCTCGACCTCGGCTATGGCGCTGGTAGAAGCGGAGATACACCCAACTGGAGAGCAGCCCAAAGCCATAGGAGGCCAGTGCTGGGCTCTGGAGCAGCGTGGCCAGCCTCAACAGTAGCAGCAGCCCCAGCAGCAGCATGGGCACCACGCTGACGCGCACCTGCGGCACACGCAGGACCACGCAGTCCCCCATGGTTTGCTTGAGTGCCACCAGGACGCCACCTAGGAAGCCCAGGGCTCCGTGGATGCGGATAGTGAAAAGGTAGACCAAGTTGAAGGAAGCCATGTAGGTGAGGAGGTAGGCGAAGGCCCCCAGCAGCCCCACAGACACGTTCACCACTGAGAAAAAGATGAGCAGCTCCAAGGCTCCCCAGAGGGGCTCCAGCAAACGTCCAGCCACCACCACTGTGGCCAGGCTGATGGCCACATCCCACACGTGCTGTTCCATCAGCCCATGGGTGGCCAGGGTCCAGATCCAGAAATTGGGCGGAAAGAGGTAGCCTGGGGTGACCGCCAGGCAGCCCGTGTCCACGGCGAAGGACAGCAGATAGAGGAAGAGTACCGCCGCGCACAGGGTCTTTACCACCACGCTGGCGCTGGCCAGGATGGCCCCCAAGTGCTGGCGGGCGCCCGGTAGGGCGCGCTGCATCTTCCCGAAGGGCGTCGGCCTGAGAGAAGGGTTTAGTGTGTTAGGGGGGGCCTCCCCGGGGCCTCGTCCCAGTCCGGCCCCGACGGGAGGCCCGGGCCCGGCCTAGTCACTGGCCTATGGCCCCGGTGAAGACTCCACTTCTGGTCGCGTCGGCTCCTGTCCCAAACGGCCGAGCTGGGTCTGGTCGCGGGCCCGGGGCCTAGGCCCCTCGCCGGGGACCTGAGGGAAGGCCCTGGGAGGCTTCCGCACGTCTGCTTGCCGGCCTGCCTGCCCTGTGGGCCCCGCGCCAAGCGGACCGGGCTGGCGTTGATCTCAGGGCTCGGCTTATTCCATCCACTCGGGGGCCCTACGGTCTGCGCGGGACCAGAGCCTTGTTCTGGGCCCCGTCAAGTCTCGTCAGCTCCGGCTCGGCCTCGGTCTTGGCTGCGACCGTACCTCCTCCCTTCCCAGGCGCCGACAAACAGCGGTGCTGCGCCTGCGCGCCCGGGCAGCGGCGGAATGCCCTTCCGGCTCCGCAGCATGCTGGGACACGGAGTCCTCGGCCGAAGACGGGGACGAGCGGAAATCAGGGTTCTGCGTAAAACTACAAGTTCCAGGAAGCTGTGCGCCCGGCCGTTCCGGTTGGTAAGAGAAGGGCGTGCTGGGCAGTGGTAGTTCTCCGGGCTGTTTCCGCTGGTTGTCAGGAGGTGGGCAAGAGTGAACTGGCTTCGCTAACCTCGGGAAAGCTGCGGGTACCCGCGCGGCAGCACGACTGCAGACACACCCTTGCTGAATTTCCTGGGAACAGTGACTCCGTGCATGTGCTTCTGAGTACATCTGAGTGTGTCCTTGTGGACAGGTGTGTAGGTAAGAATGTAGGTGGTCTTGGTGTGCGTACCAGTGTTCGGGAACTCCCGAAACTTCCGCAGTCCGGTGTGTGCCTGCCCAGGTTGTATGGGTCTCTGGGATCTGACCCAGATTGGAATTCTTGCTCTGCCATTTGGCGGCTCTGTGACACTGGCCAAGTTCCTCGGTTTCATGGACCGTAAAATGGAGATGATGACAGGACCTACTACGGTGAGGGTTCAAGGGGACTGTGGTGTAAAATGCCAGTCCATCCTGGGTGCTCATTGAGTGTGTTGCCCAGGCTAACCTTGTTACAAATGTGGTGGACCTGCGACTCGAACTTAGGTCTCCTGCCCCTAAAGGGGCAAGTCTGGGCTGCTTTTAGTGACTCTCTTCCCCACCCCGACTCTCTGGCCCTGAGGAGAGACAGAGGTGGGCCAGGGTGTCCCTGGGCCCCCACTTTACTGCAGCGGTAGCTTCCTGCAGTTTGTTCTGGGCAAACTGATTTTTTGGTGTATTGAGTTACGTTTTAAAAATGTAATTGGAATAATTCTAGGACAAAGCACATTTATAAAGCGCAGAATCCCTTCCTTTCAGCCACCGATCTCAGTACAACTGCCGATGTGCACATAGCCTTCCAGGTTACAAAGGGTGTTGATGTGACACCCTTTTCTTTGTCTGGGGTCTGGGTTCTCACTGGATGCCACCTAGGGTAGAGTTGCCAGATTTAGCAAATCAAAATACAGGGTGTTCAGTTAAGATAAATGAATAATTTTTTAGTGTAGGCATGTCCCCAGTCTTTTTAGTATGGTGCAGTATTGGAAACATGCTAAAAAACATTTGTTGCTTATCTGAATTTCAAATTTGACTAGATGTTCTACATTTTATCTAGCAACCCTACCCCAGGCCTCCGGGGGCTGTTGCAGGGCATGGAGCTCTCTCAGGGGTTACTGGTTAGGCATTGCTCTGTGGCCAACCCATGGAGGGGAATGAGGAAGAGTGTCTTTGCTAAGGCCTAGGATGTGCTCCTCTATTTTAGTGTCTGAGGCCCTCCAGCCACAGGTCACCTCCTCTCTGAAACCTTTGATTTCTTGCCCTTCTCACCAGGGGTGGGGGAGAAGAAGATTTCTCCTCAGTCTCAGTTTGTTTATCTGCAGTATGCAGATAAACTAGTACCCAGCTCTAAGGTGGTAAGCTAGCTGCCCACCCGGTGAGTGCAAAAGTATGCGTCATGAGAGAGTGAGCATCAGCAGTCCTGGGAAACCTCTGCGCTGGTCGTTACTAGTTTCTCTCCTTGAAAAGAACGTGAGGGTTTACATGGACTAGGATTGATTATTAAGAGAGTTGGGATTAAAATGAACAAGGGCATAGGGCAGGCAGAGGGAGGTCTGAGAGGATCCACCGAAATGGACTCAGTCTTGGGTTCCAGCATGAGCAATGGTGGTCAAGGAGAGCACTGGGCCTTGAGCCTCCCCTGGGCTGGAGAGGAGCCGTGGTCATGCTTGTTGGTGGGCCAGACCCTGGCCTCCTCTGGACAGCAGGATGGGGCCCTCAAGCACCGGGTCCTGGACTTGGGCCTGGTACTAACTCACCCTCCCCCCTCCTCCCAGTCCATCTAAACCTCATGGCCACGTCCCCCTGCCATCGCTCTAAGTGGATGACCTGCCCACTAGGCCCTGGTGGTTTGACTTGATGTCTAGATGCCTGCCTAAACTCGAATCTCATCTGTCTTCTTTCTTTCACCATCCTGGCCTTTAAGGACAGCTTTTCTCAGAGGCTTTTGAGATTATATGGGACAAAGGATGTCAAGGATCTCTCACTTCGGAAGCCCGGAGGCATTATGCACTATATCCACCGGGTACCTGGGTTGCAATGGCCTTCAGTCCCAGCTGAGTGGTAGGTGGGACTTTGAAGTCCTGGCCACCTGTCTTCAAGCTACCCAATCCCCACCCTGAGGCGGACACAGTGGATGGGAACCATTTGAAGTGAAAATATGAACATTATTTAATAACTGATCTTCTGTAATAAACCATTTGAAAATATTTTACAAGGAATCACACACACGATATTTTACAAAGTTTCTTGACTTTTTTGTCACTGTTGTTTTTCTGACTTGTCTGTACAAAATAGAACAACAACCAAAAAAAAAGGGCAGAGAAGAGGAAATGGCCCCCCAGCCCCCCACAGATCCCCCGAGCCCGAGGTGAGGGGGCAGCCAGGTCGGGTGGGTGATGAGAAGGATCAGACCCAGCTGGGGGTTGGACAACTACCTGATGGGGATTGTTTGTCTGTTTTCCTGTTTCTTAAACTTAAAATATATATTTTTCTATATATGTTTGATTCTTTTTTATTTTTATATTCTCCATTGAGCACCTGACTACACTACAGTTACACACACGCCCCCGCAAGACATGGCTGGCATCTAGGCTGGGTGTACAGCACGGGTGCCCACCCTGGCACCAGCAGTGGGCACGGACCATACACACACACTGAGAAAGCAACAAGCAACATGACATTAATTAACGGAGCCATTAATTAATGCATCACCCTCCCCCCTCCTCCCAGTCCATCTAAACCTCATGGCCACGTCCCCCTGCCCTCCGTCCCCCACTTGCCCCCAGGCTGGGATGCCTTTGGGGGAAATGATCAGAATGAATGGTGTGAAGACATGTGCCTGGGCCCAGCCTCTGTGTGTGCACAGAGTGTGTACATGTGTGTATGCGTGTACAAATGTGTGTTCAGCAGGGAGGGGCAGGTTGCCCCCCCCCGTTGGGGGCAGGGAATGTGTGTGTGTGTGTGTGTGTGTGTGTGTGAGAGATAAAGAGTGTGAGTGTGAAGAAACAGGGAATGGGCACAGGCCTGAGTGTGTAAGGGCCAGATTGGGGGTGGGATGGCCCAGCCAGAAGTGGTCATGTCACTCTGGCTAAGGCAAAGGGCAACGTCTGGTGCAGGCAGTGGCGTGTGGTCCTGCTGGGGGCCTGACACTAGTGCGAAATGGTTACAGTGAGCACCTGGCGGGGTGGGGGACATATCCGGGATACTGGCGGCTAGGGTGGGACAGAGGGGTTGTCACCCCCTGCCCCAGCATTTGGCACTGTTTGACATTCAGCTTTAGAGACAGAGGACCAGCTGGGCTGCAGGTCAGATTAGAGGCGGGTGGTGAGCAGGAGATGAAGTGTGCATGTGCCAACCCTCCCACCAACCCCTTGCCCTGTGTAAGGCTTTGTGAGCCCCCACCCCCACCCTACCCCACGGTGTGTGTGTGTGTGTGTGTGTGTGTGTGTGTGTGTGTGTCCGTGTCCTCCTTGGTGTGTCTAATGTGAGTCCAGTTTCTGCCCTCAGGGCTCCAGGTGTGTATGGGGTTGTGTCTGAGCCAGTGTCACTGTCACTGGCCTGTCACCTGCAGGGCTGGAGGAAGGTGGGAGGTGGCTGTAGGCCTGAAAGGGGCAGGAGCCCACTGTGGGGCTGCCTCAGGACTTCTCTCCTGCTAGGACTTAAGCTGGGATGCACAGGCCTCAAACTGCCCATCTCAACTTCATTATTCCCAGGGAATCCAGATTTGGTCCTGGGTGGGGCCTAAGGGCCAAGTTAGAGGAGTCCGGCTGGGGCAGGGCCTAGGTCTCCTGCACAAAGGGAGCCTTGGGGCAGGGTGGGCAGTGGAGGCCTGGTTTGGCACCAGTACGGTGGCTTCCCTGTCCCAGCCCTCAGGGGTGGGTGAGTCTGGTGGGAATAAGGGGTCTGGGGTCACTCTGACAGTTCAGCGGCGAGATGTGGCTTGGGGGCCAAAGACCTGCGGCACCCTCCTTTGGGACCCCCCCACTCCAAGGCTCAGACTCTTGGGCCTGGCCGCTCAGGTCCTTCAGTGAGGGAGGAGGCGAGGCTCTAAGGCGGGGTGTATGGGACAGGGGAGCAGGGGAGAGGCGGGGAGGCCTGGGGAGAGGTGGGGGGGCGCTCAGACGCGGCGCGAGGCGTGGGCGTGGACTTGGGGCTGCGGCCGGGGGGGCAGGCCCAGGAGGAGCAGCAGCTGCAGGGAGACCAGGACGCCCAGCGACGGCGGGAAGGAAGCTCCGCGGCCACAGTCTGAGGTATCTTCCTGCGGGAAGAGGCAAGGAGCGGGTCGGCTCGGGCGGCCCGTGGAGGGGAGGGGAGGGGAGGGGAGCGCCAAGTCAAGTGCGCCGCCCCCTCCTCACCGTCGCGTTGTAGTCAAAGCAGATGTGCGGGCCTCTCCGGTATCGCGGTCTCTGCACCAGTTCACACTGCTCCGGGCCGTCCGCTGGGCATGGGTGGGGAGTCAAGGAGGCGGCAGGGCACGGAGGGGGCGCGCGGGGCAGGAGGGGGCGCGCGGGCGGCGGGGAACGGCGGGGGGCAGGATACAGTGTGTCTCCTTCTGCAGCAACCGGCCAGCCTCACACTGGCTGCACAGCGGCTTCTCGGCCACCACGAATAGAAGGTTGGTGTTGGTCAGTCTCTGCGCGTGGAACAGCCTGGAGGCAGCACGGGAAGGAGGGGCGTTGGGACTCGCCCCGCCCCTCCCTTCCCCGCTGCAGCCCCGGCTCCGCCCCGGGCCGCGCCCACCCGGCAGGCCCCGTCCGGCCCCGCCCGGTCCTCCGGTCCCGCACCCCGCGGGCACCTGGAGCAGTTTCCGCAGTCGATGATGGCGTTGTAGGAGGCGTTCACCGACCCGAAGTAGTACTGGGTCTGTTTCATGACGCAGCTGCTCTCGCGCGCCTCGGGGCTCCCCTCGGCCTCCGCGGGGTCTGCGAGTGCCCAGAGCGCCTCAGCCCCACCCATACACCCTGGCCCGGTCTCGGGCCTCGGCCTTGCTCAGCCATAAGCCCCGCCCTCCCTTTGGGGTGGGTCTGAGCTTCGACTCGGGGGAGGGGGTTCGAGGAGGGGCTTCCAAAGCCCTACCTACCTGCCTGGAACCAGCTATGATAGATGAGGCCGTACAGAAGCTGCTGGAACAAGGACCTGCAGGGCATGGGTCACTGAGTGGGAATGGTCACCAGAGACCAGTGCCCTGCCGCACCACCTCTCTTGAGCCCTCCTGCCCAGAGAGCACCGTCCCTCCGCCCCCTCCCCCCTGGGACTCACCAGGCGGCAGCCGAGGTCCACCAGGCCAGGTTAAGGAAGTCTGCAATGGTGGGCTGCGGTGGAGAGAGGGGCATGGGCTGCCATGGCTGTCCTTGGACCCGGGTTCCCCCCCCATTCTCTCGTCAGAGGTGGAGCATCATCTGTGTGCAGGTCTCCCAGACCCCCCCAACCCCCGCCAGGCATCTCTGGGGCTCACCACAAAGACGCCCCGGGGTGCAGCACCCAGGTTGCCCGGCGGCTGGGGGGCACAGGCTGCCTGATAGTCGTAGGACTCTTTGCGGGTGTAGAAGGAGTTATTGTAGAGTGCCAGCATCAGGTTGGCATCCACCTCACTGAAGAACCTGCCCACCTGGGAATGCCAGGAGGGAGTGGTAGTCACAGGGCTGGCAGTGCTGCACCCCCAGAAGGCTCAAACTCTGGCCCCCCTCCTTCCACCCTCTTCTCGACCCTCACCTGGTCCCACTGATGATTCTGGTTTGACAGCACCAGGAATCCCCCATCGTCAATGAGGACACAGAGAAGGTCCTGAGAGGTAGGGAAGGGGGAGGAAGATGGAGAGGGGCCCAGGCCCAGACCTTCCTCCCCAGACCCTGGCAGTTGGGTGGTTGGGTCGAAGGGGCACAGTTCTGGTAAACCTGTGAAGTCGGGGTGGGATGTTGAGAACCCACTGCTCCCGCCAGGCCAAGGGATGGGCTAGGAGTCGCAGTTGGGACTAAGAAGTCTGGGATTGTGGTAAACTAGGGTTGAGGGCACACGTACCTCATTGTTAACTTCGCAGTCCATCTCACAGTGGCTGTTGGGGCCACACTGCTGGGCAGAGAGCAAGGACCGTAAGGTGCCTGGCAGTGCCCCCCCATCACACCTTTGTACTTCTGGGTCCCCAGGCCATCTGCAACAGCCACTGCCTCCCCATAAGGCACAGGAACCACTCTGAGTGAGTGGTAGGGGTTCCTGGGGGGACTCGGTACTGCTGGGCTTACTGCCCCCACCCCGGCCCAGGTACCTTCTGAGGCTGGTCCTGGTGGGTACGGTTGCTGGCTAGCACCTTGAACTTCTCAGCCCAGGCTTCTAGGTCTAGTTTAACACCTACCACTATAGAAGAGAGCAAGGGGCCATCAATGCTTGCCTGCCTGGGCAGCACCCTGCCCACCGTCTCTTTCCCCACCTCCGCCCCAGGCATTCACCTGCTGGCCTCAGTGTGCGTCCGCCCAGGCTTAGCTCCACAGCCGTGCTGACGAGGATGCCCACCGTGTCATTCTCCAGCTCCAGTGGCCTTAACAGGGCTGGAGGTAGGGTGGGGAAGTCAGGACTAGGGGCTGGTGGCCACATTGACCACTCTGTGCTGGGCCTGTGGACCCAGGAGCCCAAGCCAAGCACCCAGTACCCAAGGTAGTGTTGGCACAGCCTAGCTCTGTCTTCTCATCTCTCCCAGTCTCGGCTAGCCTCATGTTTGAGAGGGGCCTCAGAGAGCAGAGCGTAGCCCTGGCTGAGCAGACAGGGAAGCCTCAACTTCCCACCTGCTGGACACCTGGGAGGACACTCACCATCCTGGTGTGGGGGTTTGAAGACATAGCCATGGTTGTCCAGGCTACGGCGGTAGAAGCTGGCATTGAAGGGCTCCGGGTTCTCTGTCCAGTCCTCAGCTGCTCTGGTTATCCGAGACAGACAGGAGTTGGTGGAAAGGGGGGTGGGGTGGGGGACAGTGTCTCAGCAGGTGCAAAGAGGCCTATGGGCAGCGGGACAGAGGCAGGGTCCCGGGTGGGGGCAGGGTGTCGGGTGGCAGTGTAGGTCACTTACTTGTTTGGGAATACACGGGTGATGCCGCCGTCGGTGGCAGCAAACACGGCCAGAAGGCTGTACCTGGGGGGCAGCAGGGAGGTGAGTCACAGGCCCGCCTTCTTCAGGGCAGGGCCAGGGCCTCTGGGCCCATCCCAGCCTCCTGCCCCCACAGGCTGGGTGGTGCCTACGTGTTGAGGTCCTGGTCCCGCCATGTGCGCTCCACCAGCTGCTGTGTGATGCCTGTGTCCAAGATCAGGTTGTGCAGAAGGAAGTTGTTGCCTGCAACGGGAAGGTAGGGGTGGAGGGGGTGGCTTCTTTCTGGTGGCTTCCTGCCCCCTCTCCCCCACACACCCAAGGCTCCAATAGGAGGCTTCCCCACTGCCTGGCCCAGGTCCTGCCCTGGGCTTGGGTCTGCATCACACCTGCCCGGTTTCTGGCTTCTTTTGGGCTGCCCCCTTGGGGTCTGGGCATTGCCCAGACCCGGCGGCCCCACCAGGCACTCACACTGCTTGGAGTCTGGAGTCACTTTCTCCATGAGTTCAATGAAGTTTTTCAGGAACTCGGTGTTGTTGTCTGAGGCATTCAGGTCCTTGCAATACTCTCTGGGGGTGGGGAGGGGCAAGAAGAGTGGGCTTGGGGGCTGGACAGAGCAGTAGGGTTGAGGCTTCCCAACAGGCCTGCCTGGCCATTGGCTGAGAAGCGCAGGCCTCAGCAGGGGCACGTGTATTCCTACAGGCTACATGCCTGGCAGGCTGCCGCGTCTAAGTAGGGACAGAACTGACACAAGAAGGATGGTCCTTGTCCTCCAACCTGGCAGATTCTCCCTCCTGGGGATAGCCCTGCAGAGCCTCCCACCCCTCCTGTGTAGCTGGACCCAGATGGCCCCTGGGGGAGGCCCCAGGAAAGGCCCCCTGGCCGGCTCATCCCCCTGTACGTTGTAGTGTTCCGGAGGGCACAAGGTGGGCGAGCAAGTGCCAGCACTGGCTTAGTCAGCCTGAGTGTAAGCCCTCAGCCTGCCACTTCCTGGCTTGGCACCTCTGGACAACTCACTGAAGCTCCCTGAGCCTCAGATTTTTCCATCGTACCACAGAGGGTGTCAGGAAGTCAGTGGGAATGCGTGGGGCCTCCGACTGGTGGTTCCTTCTGCCCGGGATGCTCTTCCCCCAGAGGTGGACAGGTGAAACCCCTCACTTCCTCAAGGCCCTCGCTGGGCTCAGGCTCTAGGTCCAGACAACGTGGGAGCTTTGGGGGCACGGGAGGCCTGCTTAGGGCTCTGCTCCCCAGGAAGTCTGGTAGATGGAGCTCTCTCTTCTGCCCAATCGCTCATTCACACCCCTGCCACCAGAGACCTCCCCACTGGCCTGGATGCAGCAGCCTTGGGAATTTTTGCAATGCGCTGCTTCCCTAGGCTGTGCTAGGGCCCACGGTTTGCTGAGGGCACCTGGGTCAGGGTCTCAGTCCCCACTTGCTCTCTGGCCCCAATGGCCTTTGTGCAGTGCGCAGCCTGTACTTCTGTGGTAGGGGGCACAGCTGACACATCCAGAGTGACACCCGTAGGTTGTGCTTCAGCTACAACTCCCCTGCAGCCCCTCCCCCCTAACAATATGTACATTTACAGCTGTGGATTACTTCATTCGCTCACCCAGCACATATTTATTGAGTTCTCCCGAGCCAAAGATACAGAAGTGACAAAAACAAACCCAGTCCCCTCTTTCGGGGTCATGTGGGCCACCCAGGCCTTTTCACTCATTCCCACCGTCACTCATGCCCACAGCCTACCCCACAGTACATTCAGACTCTTACAAATGTACACAATTACTCACAAATACAAACACATCTACACAGTCAAGAGAAATTGGTGGGTGCATGCACACACGTGCACACGCATGGAGGTTAAGAGTGTCCAGAGCCCCTGGGGGGTGCCTGAGAGTGCCCAGGGGTCCAGAGCCAGGTCATGGGGGAGGGCTTCACCACAGGGGGGGGCTGTTGGTCTCCTCACTTGTGGGCCAATAGGCAGAGGGTGGGCACCCAAGGATGTGCATGTGCATGCTGAGTGTGCACTTCAGGGATGGTCCAGGGTGCTGGGCCCTGACCCCTCACTTGCCAGAGCAGCTCTTCAAAGCCCTTGTACTCCCCACCTCCCCCAGTCCCCTGTGAGCCACCATCCCTAAATTCAGCACTGCCGACGGGGGCTCTGGCTGGCTCATCCCCAGACCCACACAAACACTGACCGACACAGGACAAGGCTGGGGTGCAGGGTGGGGGGGTGGGGAGGGCGCCACAAACCAGAGCAGCAGCTGCCCAGGGAGGGGTGTGCTGCGGACAGCCCTGCCCAGGGCAGAAAGGGTCCTTCCTGGTGGCCTGGGAGGGCAGGGAAGATCGGCAGAGTCTGGAGCCCTCCCGCCCCAGGCCTGGTGGGGGCTGGAGCTGGGCGGCTGGCCACTGCTGCCTGGTGGGGTGGGGCATGGCCCGGGTATGCACAGGGCCGCACAGACGGGGCTATGCACGGGGCTATGCACAGGGCTATGCACGGGGTGGGGCGACACCGCACAGGACACACACACACACACACACACACACACACACACACAGAGCTCCAGGCAGCCGTGCAGGAGGCAGGGCCAGGGCGGTTGGGGTTGGGGTTGGGGAGGACACCTCAGCAAGGCCACACGCAAGCTACCTGGGAGCAATGAAAACATGTCCTTCAGACTCAAAGCTGCTGGGGAGCAGGAACTCAAAATCTGCAACAGAAACGGGGGGTTATCCGGCGGGGGCTGGGGAGGCAGGAGGCCAGGGGGCTCAGAGCTGACGGGGCTGGAGGGACAGGGAAGAGGGTGGCTTGAGGGAGGGGGGAGACACCAGCAAAGAGGGAACCCGCCACTTCCACGTTCAAGTTCGAGCCAGAGAGAAGGGGCGAGCAGAGAGAAAGGGAGGGCGGGGAGGGGGTGGAGGGCCTGTGGAGACTACAGCATCGCAGGAGGAGGGCAGTTATAGCCAATATGTTGCCCAGGCCTGGTCCTCTGTCGGCAGTGAGTCCCGTGGCGTGGCTGTGCAGCACATACACACGGACACACACACACACATATATACACACACTGCTATATATATGCATGGTCTGGGGGAGGCGCCGGTCTCGCTCTTATCACATCCGTAATGGAAAAAACCGCATGCCGAGCTTCCTTTGCCTCCAAAGAGACTTTGAGGAAGGGAATTGGCTTTTGGCTGCGGATTTTTATCTCTCTTTCTTTGCTGCAGCTGTTTGCATTTTTGGTAGGTCTTTTGTTCTGTGTCAGGCATCAACATGGCCAAACCGAGGGGATTTCTCACGGGCAGAGACAGTCCAACCAGAGACGGTGTGGGCAGCTGGGGCTGGGCTGCAGTGCATTGTGGGGGTCCCACGGTCCTTCCTGGGCTGGGAGGCTGGGTGAGGGCAGAGGGAGAAGAATGGGCCTCCACCCTTCCTAGGACCTGCCTGGGTTCAGAGCAGCCCAAGAGGAATGCTGGGGCTCCAGAGGAGCTGTGGGGTGCTCTTGAGGGGTCCTGTGCACATGTTTGAGAGAGAACACATAAGTACATGGGAGAGGGTGTGTGTTTGCCTGAGCGTGCATGTGTACGGGTGTCTCTGTGTGGCTTTGTGAGTGAATCTGGGGTTTCTCTGGGCCCTCTCCCTGCCAGGCTGGATCAGCTACCTGGCTGGTCTGCATCTTGGAGGCGTGCCCCTGCCCCTTGGCCTGTTGCACTCTGGGCAGCCCACCTTCCAATCCTGTCTTCACCAAGGTTCCAACCTCTTTGTGACTGTAGGGCTTTATTTTTGCAGAAGAGGGGTCTTCTCTGTTTCCAGATACTCCCACAATGCACTGCAAGATTCCGGGAGGTGGACTTGGCGTGCCTGGAGGGGCTGGGCAGTCACTGGTTGGACTGTTGCTTTCTGATGGGACTGTGAGGTAGGGTTTGGACACAGGCCGACAGGGAACGGGGGTGAGGGAGGGGAAGGAGGAGAAAGAAAAAGGAGGCAGGGAGACTAGGCTATAGTTGTCATTTTTACCAGAGCCCTGCATTTCTGGGGACACTGGGAGGGATGTGGAAGGGGGAGAAAAGACAACTCAAGCCAGTGGGAGTAGGGCCTGTCCCCCACCCCGACCCAGCCCACAGGGGCCCGCTCTATCCCTTTTGCTGGACTAGGCTGGACAGGGCCCCTCGGGCTTCTTGGGGAGCCCTGGCTTCCAGGCCATCCGCTCTTGGCTCTCTGTGCCCATCTGCCCCGGCCCTCCCTGGGAGGGGTGTCTCTGTGCACCGGTGGCAGAGACCCTTGCGTGTTTCTCTTGCTCCCCTTATTCTCCACCCAAGTCTGTGAGTTCATTGCCTGCCTTTCTCCGGAGTCTCTGGCTTGGGTTATCTCTAAGTGCCAGAACCTTTTTCTTCACTCCCAGACTGATTCCTTCCAAGCTCTTTCACTGGCCCTTGGGGTCCAGACACATTTCCTTTCTTCCTGGCTAGGCTCACCATCCCCGAGTCTGCTTTTATTTCCCAGGGGAACACCTTCTTCACAGCTGACCACCTGCCCCAGCGGCAGTGGGTACCGCGGTTGGGCTGGGCCAGTGGGCTTTAGCAAAGTGGTGGGGGCAGCAGGGGACAGGGGTGACAGCACCTAGGCCGGTGCTCAGGATGGTTGGGTCTGCCTTGCTCTCCCAGTGGTGTGGCTGATGCCCTATCCTGCCCATCTCAGAATCAGGGTGGGGGGCTTCCAGAGCCTCTGTCACCCCTTGGATGGCTCCAACTTCTGGACCAACTGGCAGAGATCACAGGAGGGAGAGAGAACTATCCCAGAGAAAGCCTCAGGTGGCTGGGGCTTCCCTTTCCCATAAGCCTCTCACAAGCCCTGCTGAGGACTCCTCTAGCCCCTGCCTATCAGGCCCCCTGCCCTGCGGGGTGGGAGGTGGTGGAGAGGCATCCAGCCCTGTCCCCACTGTTGAGTTGTCTTGGAGGGACAGAGAAGGTGGGGATGGGCAGGGACCTGCCCAGAGGGAGCAAGGAGGATGAAGACGGGGGCCTGAGCTCTCAGAACACCCGGAGACCACCCTGCAGGCAGGGCCAGGAGAAGGGCCACTGGCTGTAATAGGGGTTTAGGAATGAGGGAAAAGGCAAGAACTAGAGGAGCCAAGGGGATGCTGGGAGGGAGCCCTGGAGAGCAGGGGTTTGGCTGGTCCTGGGCAGGGAGGGGGGCAAGCAGGGGTGTGAGGGTGGGTGGGGTGGGGAGAGGAGAGTGCACTGGTTCTGAATATACTTGCCCTTCAGTTTGCTGATTGGCACTGGGACAGTCCACCAAGAGAGAAAGCGAGGAAAACAAAAACAACACAAACACAAAAACAAACGAAAAGGGGGAAGGGGAGGGGGGGGCACAAACAATATTTTATTCAATGGCTGTTTGAATGAAAATATTGTGTCTCATCATCATACCAAAAGGAAACTTCTTGCAAAAAAACGACATGAGAGAGAAAGAGAGAGCGAGAAAACTCAAAGGAGATGAGCCCCGGTCGGCCAGGCAGGTGGGGGGCGCCCGGTGGGGCCGGAGCCCCAGCCTCCCTCCCAGTGACCTTGGGTGGTGGGCAGGCGGGGGCCGCAGGCTCCGGAGCCTCTGGGGGAGGCCCAGGGTGAGCAGGACATGCAGGGATGAGCCACAGGCAGAGGAGTGGGAAGGAGGGAAGGAGAGAGGTCCAGAGAGGAAGAGAGAGGGAGAGGGAGGATGGGGAAGAGAACAGAGGGAGGGAGGGAGGGGAAGTAGGGATGCTGGGGTAGGGGAGAGAGGGAGAGGGCAGAAGGGAGAGGGAATGGGGGAGACAGAGAAGGTGGGGATACAGGAAAAGGAGAGAGGAGGAGGGAGGGAGGAGGGAGGGAAGTGGGGAGAGGGAAGGGCAGTGGGGGTCGGAGCAAGGTGAGAGGGGCGGCTGAGGGAGGAGGGAAATGAAGGAGAATGAGTGAAGGGGGCGGAGGAGAGGGGAAGGAGACCCTGGGGGGATGGCACCACAGGTTGGGAGAGCTTTAGGGCACAGGGGGGAGGGGAGATGGGGGGGTGTCTTCCAAGAACGCAGCCCCCAGGGGTGTGCGGGGGAGGCAGGCTATGGAGGGAAGACACGCAGTAGGAGAAACTCAAACCAAAAACCTCAACGGAAATCATGAGAGAATGATCTGGAACCAAATCTGAGAAAAGGCGAGCATGCAGATTTCCACAGACTTTCCGATGGCCGGTGCCCCAGCCTGCGGGTGCCTGGGGGTGGGCAGACTGGGCAGGGGGGGCTGCCTTGCCACCAGTGGCTGGCTATGCTGCCTGGGGCCGGCCAGGGTGCGGGACAGAGGCAGGGGTGCAGGGCGCAGGCAGGGGCCGGGCCACTTACACTTGACCTGCAGGATCTGGTCGCTGAGGTTGGCTTGGAGGTAGAAGGTGCTGTAGGGCGGGAGCACAAGCCCTAGGCTAGGGAGGAGGGGAGGGGAGGAGCATATGTCACTGCTGGGGAGAGGTGGGCCACACTGGCATCTGGCCCCCCACCCCATGGCCTCGGAGCTAGGCAGAGTGGCCCAGGCTATGACGTCCGCTCTCCTGCCCACCAGGGCCACCTTTCCCTGTTGGCTGTGGGAGATTCAGTCCCCAGACTCCTGGACGCCTCAGAATGCCCAGCCCCAAAGCAAGTCCCCCCCCTGCTCCCCCTCCCCCAGCAGCACCCCCCGCCCCAGATACCCAGCCGGCCTCCTCAATCAGGCCAGCAGCAGACTCACAAGGGGCAGAGCACTGTCAGTGAGCTAGGCTGTTGGGTGCACAGCCATGGGAGTGGGGTCCTTGGTCCCCCGAGACTTAGGTCATGTGCAAGCCAGTGAGAAGCAGGGCTGGCGCTAACACGGTGAGAAGCAATCACAAGCTGGGACTGGGGTGGGAATAAGACCGGCTCTGGGGGGCACAAGAAGACAGCCTGCATGGCCTGGGCCTAACCCACAAGGGTACCTCCTCTGTGTGGTGCCTGTTGAGAGCCAGCCTAGGAATGTGCTGAGGGTGACATCCTGGGTGCAGATACCCAGGGATACGATCCAGGCAGGGGTGACGTGAGAGGGTCGTGTGGCATGGGGAGACATCAGATGCACTGTCTTGTCTCTGTCCTGTGCTCCCAGGAAATGGCCCTTGTTCCTGAAGGGCCAGCGAGAGGCCCTTGGGGGACCGAGAGTCCCGGGGTGAGTAGCGAGCAGCCCTGGCTGCTGGTGCCCCACTAGGATCATGGCTCCAGCCACTGAGCACCCACAGACTGGGTGGGGAGCGGGCTCAGACTCTGGGCTCTGGGGCTGCCCCGCCCCTCCCTGCCGGTCCCGCCCCACTCACCTGTAGTTGGTGCTCCTTATGGGCACCCAGGTGTAGTTCCGCACCACCTCATCTACGTACCTCTGAGAGAAGAGGCTGGGTCAAGTACTTGGGCCAGTGGGCAGGGGTGGGATGGAGTGCGGGAGGATGCCCACCCTGACTCTGTCCCCCTCCCCCATCGTCTCACCTCGTCCAGGGACTTGACCAATGTTCTGATCTGCTTGTGGCCCTTGTTGCCATCGATCATGCTCCGACGGATCTGGAAGGGCCAGAGACGTGAGGGGTGCGGCCCCTACTCTCAGCTGCTCTGGGTGCCGCCACCCATACCATACTCCCCTCCTTGCCCTCACCTCCTCCTTGTTCTCATCCTCCAGCTCAGCATCCAGGAAGTCCAGAGTCACTGGCTCCCGGAAGTTGGTGGTCTGTGGGAGGCAGGGCAGGAAGTCAGGGGGTCCCCGTCTTGTAGGGTTTACCCCTCCTCCTGACTGCCCCCTGGCTCACCTGGGGCTTGAGGTTGGGGTGCAGCAACACGTAGCCGTTCAGGTCAATGGCAAACACGTAGCCGTTGGCTCCAAGCTGGGGGCGTAGATGGTGGCTCAGAGCCTGGGGGGCCGGGCAGGGATTCCCCAGCCTCTCGAGCTCTTCCTCAGCCTGCTTTCCATACCACTGAGGGCTGCCATGTACCTGCCTGGGCCAGGGGCCCCCACATGCCACGTGGCCTTGAACCTATTTCTCAAGTCAAGCCCAGCACGCTGGCGTCCCTTGTTGAGGCTGATGGGCTCCATGGGACCACGAGTCGATCTGGCCTTCTGCCCCCATGACTCCTGGTTCTCTTGGAGCTCTCAGTCGGCCGGACTGCTCTGTCTCCACTAGCCCCTCCGTGCCGCCGTCTCCTCCCTGCCCCCCTACTTCTGCCTCCTCCTGGTCCCCATCTCAGTAGAGTGCCGAGGGAGGACTGTACCCCGTCCAGATAGAAGTGAAGGAGGAGTGAATGGGACCCTGGGCTCACCCTTAGCTCTCTAGGCTGCTTTCTCACTGAACATGGAGGCCATCCACACGGGGCCTTCGGGTCGAGGCAAGCTGTCACACACGTCCCATCCCCCACCCCTTTCACAACCAAGACTGAAGCTGCCTCCGCCACAGGCCCTGGGCCAGCCACACTGACCTTGCGCCTCCCCTGGTTTCTGATTTTGGTTTTCACCTTCAGTCCTTTGCTCAGAGAGTTTCCTGTAACTCCAAGGTATGCCTCCTGTCTATCCGACTGTTCAGGGGTTGGCAAACTATGGCCCGTGGGCCATGCCTGGCCCGTCACCTGTTACTGTACGGCTAGGAATATTTTTTACATTTCTTTTTTTTAAAGATTTATTTATTTATCTGAGAGCAAGCGAGCAAGCGTGCACACAAATGGGGGGAGGGGCAGAGGAAGAGAATCTTCAAGCAGACTCCCTTGCTAAGCGGCCTATGTGGGACTCTGAGCTGAAACCAAGAGTCAGGCACTTAACCAGGAGCCCCTGTTTTGTTTTGTTTTGTTTTGTTTTACATTTTTAAGTGGTTGAAAAAGATCATGATGTGAAAATTAGGTGACATTTAAATTTCAGGATCCACAAACAGAATTGTATTGGAACACAGCTGTGCCCATTTATTTATCTGTGGCCATTCTCAGTACAACAGCAGAACTGAGTATGAGTATTTACACTGGAAGAGCCTAAAATATTCATAGTCTGGCCCTTCACAGAAAGTTTGCCAACCCCAGCTCTAGGCCCAAGGTTACCTCCTCCAGAAGTCTTTCCTGACTGACTGAATTCACAGGTCTCCCTGGAGGTGCTATAATCCCCATCAGACGTCTCTGCTGAGCCTGGCTTGTGTCCACGTGGGAGGCAGAGCTGGGTGGATGGGCAGATGGACACTTACCGTGTAGTTTGGAGTCAGCCTCTTGATGTCATTCAGAGCCACATCGATGCCCATCACACCCAGGATCAACTGGTTCTGGGAGCAGAGGCATGGGGTCTGCAATGGGCTCAATCCCACGGGGGAGCCCCGCTGTCCAAACCTCATGCCTAAGGCCTTAAGCTGCTCACAAGTAGTTGCCTCTGTCCAGTCTGAAGGCCAGCCTGTCCCTCCTCCGTCCCAGGCCTGCCAGGGGCATGCCCAACCCCCCCAGGCATGCCCAGCCCTTCCCTGGTGGGGAACCTTACCTTTTTCTCCCCAGGGCCATCCTGTGTCAGGTTGAAAACAGGGAGGGTCCCTGTCACCACCAACCCCAGCCCCTGAAGGGAGAGGAGGATGACAGGTTAGTCTCCTGTGGCCAGCCATGCCCCACTCTGAGTGTCCAGAGAATGGGCTCAGGCACAGGCCCCTTTTTTTCTTCTCTGGTTTACTCCAATAAGGGGGCTCTTAAGGAACTTGACCTTGTGGGCACATCTGTGGGGGCCCAGAGGCCTTACCAGAGCATCCTCATACACGTTGGTCCATTGCACCTGCTTGGCTTCCTTGCCCGCCAGCACCATGGGCCTGCCCAGTACATCCAAATATTCCTGGGGAGAAGGTGACAGGCGTCATAAGTCCACCTGCCCACTGCATCTTCCCTGTTCTGCCTCCCCGTATATCAGCCTGCCACCAGGGGGCGCTCTCACACCACAGCAGCCCTTCGCTCACACTGTGCCCAGGAAGTAAGGGGCTAGGAGGAGGGCTAGAGTCTCACCTGCGTGTTAATGCGGATGGCTCCAATGGAAGGGATCTCAAAATAGTAACCTGTGAGGGAAGGTGAGGCAGAGGTGGGCCTGGGTGGTACTTGGGACCCATGGCACAGGGGCTCCCGTACCCCAGGCTGTGTCCAGGCCCCCTCACTTTCTGGTGTCACTCCTCCCAAGCTCCTGTCCCTTTAGTGCTCCCTTCCCCTGCCCTGTCAATGGCGCTGATGCTAGGGAAGGGGCCATGAGTGTAGGGGTGTAAGGAAGCAGAGGCAGGGTGGAGGGACGAGCCTGAGGCTGAAGTCCCTCATGCTGGGATGGTGGTGACACTCAGAGTTCACCCAGGGGCCAGACCCACATGCATGGAGTGGTAGCTTGACCAGCAAACAGACACGGGAGCAGATAAGCCAGGCGATGGATGGACAATGGACAGACAAATGGGGAGAAAGATGCTCAGTCAGATGGACAAGTTACGTGGCCAGATAGAGAGATGGACGGTCACACGCACAGGAAGATGGATGGGGGGTAAACAGGCAGCTGGAAAGCTGGACACATGGATGGACAGGTGGATAAGCAACCCGATGGCCAGCAGGGCACAGCGGGCAGCCCCAGGGCGGGGACGCTGGACGAGGTACCTTTGTTGGCGCAGGCCATCCACTGCAGGGGTGTGACATCGTAGTTGTGTTGCCCCACGGAGAAAGTGAACACGCGCACCTGTTTGAGGCTTGAGGTTACTGCTGTGGCCATGAGAGGACAGCCCTCCCCGGTACTGGGCCCAGGTCAGGGGGCCCCCCACCTGGGCTGCGCCTCACCGTCCGGTTGGGCCAGTTGTACTTCTCAAAGACATCCTGCACGCGGTCCTCACCGCCATCCGTGAACATCATGATCATCTTATTGCAGTTGGCACGGGTTATGTTGGACTGGTCAGGGGTAGGTTTGGGGTCAGGCAGCGCTTGGACCCTCCCTGGCCCAGGGTGAGTCTCCCTCCCCCTGGAAGGCCCGGCCCTCGGGCCCTCCTCCCCACAGCAGATGGTGCTATCTGCCTGAGCCGCCTGTTGGGTGCTAACAAGGCCATTCGTCTTGATTTCCCTGGTGTCACCGAGCCTGGGCCTTGGCCTCTCCCCAGCCACCCGCTCATCCACCCACGGCGGCTCACGTTCTGCAGCTGGTCGAAGGCGTACTCAAAGCCGGCCTTGTAGCCTGTGGTGCCCTTGGCCACCATGCCCTGCACGGCCTCCTTGAACACCTTCTTGTTACGCACATTGGCCTGCACCAGGTGTGTGAAGCATGACACAGGCTGTGCCTTTTCGTTGAACTGCAGGGACAGGGTGGGTGGCGAGTCACTGCATGCCCCCACCACTCAGGCTGGCCAGGGCATGCGGCACCGGGTGGGGTGACCCATTCCTCACCCGCCCGCCACCTTGGCACTCACTGAGGCCACGTTCACATAGTCGTCATCCGAGAGCGTGTCCAGCATCTCACAGACAGACGTCTTCATCAGCTTCAGGGTCAGGCCGCTCACGCTGCCGCTCCTGGGAAGGTCATGGAGGTGCCAGGTAGGCTTCAGGTGTTCTCCGGCTGTTCCCTCATGAGGGTCCCAGGCGGCAGATTCTCTCCCCCCCCCCCCAACCCCTCCTGCAGGCATCTCTCACTCACACATCCACAATGATGACCATGTCCTTGGGCGACGAGGCCCCCTGGATGTACCTGCCCGGGAGAAGCGTCAGTTAGGGCCAGCCTCACTGGGACCTTGTGGGTCCTTTCTTCCTTCACCCACATATTGATTCAACGTGTTTCTACTGAGCATCCACTGCATGGACCAGACAGCATTCTAGGCACCGAGGATATCATTTAATAAAAAGGTCCTGGGGTGCCTGGGTGGCTCAGTCAGTTAAGCATCTGACTATGGCTCAGGTCATGATCTTGGGGTCCTGGGATCGAGCCCCGCGTCACAGTGTCCCCTCTCAGTGCGGAGTCAGCTTGTCTCTCCCTCTGCCTCCCTCCCCCACCGCTTGTGCTGTCTCTCTCTCACAAATAAATAAAGTCTTAAAAAAAATGAAACTCTAACAGTCCTTGCCCGTTACATGAGTGACCTGGTCCCCCAGCACATGAACGAGCCCAAGGAGGGGTGAACAGGTGATCCAGAGAGGGGGCAGGAGATATGTTCCTGGGCCCCAGTGCTTGTCATGTCCCCTTGCCCGGGACAAGGCCCCAAGGTCTGAGTCCTAGCTGTGTGTGGGATGGAACAGGGAGGGGGGAGGTCATGGGGTACTGCAGGAGAGGCAGAGCAGAGGGTGGGGTGTTCAGGGCTCAGATGGGGGGTGCGGGGGCTGGTGACCTGACAGAGGATATATCCACCCTCGGGAACCCCCACTGGCCCAATCCCTCAGTCCCGAGGGGGTGGAGTGCCGGGCAGTGGACGGGGGGCAGAGGCAGCTGGGAGGCCTGCCTGGGTGATGGGATCCATTTTCCAGCGGCAACGATGTGTGAAATGAAAATTGGATAGAGCTGGCTGCGCCCTGCTCCGAGTCCTGGATATCGGGAGGGAGGGGAGCGGGCGGCAGAGGTCAGGGGGATGGAGGGGGTGTCCCTGCCCAGCTCCTCCTTGCTCACTCACCAGGGTCTCCTTCGGACATCGTACAGGTCGATTTTCTTGGGGGCTCGCCAGGGGGTGGCTGTGGGAGGAGAGAAGGCGAGGAGGGGGGTCTGGCAGGGAAGGGCCTGGCCAGGGCCAGCCGGCCTGGCAGGAGTGGCTACTGCACAGCCCACCGGGTGAGCAACCACCCCACACACTCCAGGATAAGTGGGCTGGGTGACGGAGGAGGGTGGGTGCTGAGTGGACAGGAGAGATGGGCTGACACCCACCAGGATAGTAGCGAGTGACACCCGTGGCACTTCCGAAGACCTGCCACAGCAGCGTGGGGTCCTGCCTGCGATTCTCGATGAACACATTCTCCAGGGCCTCTGTCCAGTTGAGTTCATTAAGGATGACAGTGGCTGTGGGGGAGACAGGGGGCGGGGGTGAAAAGTGCCCGGGCTGTCCCCTGTTGAACCTCACCACGACGCCTATGCATGTACCCCCCACTTAGCGAGCTTCACCTGCTCTCTGCCTGGCAGGGCTCTCCTTCCTCAGGGCTCAGCTGAGGGCTGCATCAGCTCCTCCAGGAAGACTTCCAGGTCCTCAACCCCTCCCAAGCCAGCTTAGCCTACCCTTCGGCCAGGCCCCACGGGATCAGGCAGGGCAGCCGTGGCCTGTGGCCCCTGAGAGGGGCTGTCCAGGTGGCAGGGAGTTGTAAATTGGGATGCCCATCCAGCATGCTGCCTGGAGCTTGCAGCTGGTCCCTTGGGAGCTCACCCACTCAGCATGCACTCCGGGTTGCAGCCACAAGAAAGCAATTAAGGGCCCGATGATGGGGCAGGAATTATTCAGCTATTAAGGTACCTGATAAGCTGGAAGCCACTCAGCTCCATGATTAATCAACTGGGGCCAGAAGCAGGCCGGGGCGGGGGCGGAGGCTCTTGGAGGGGCAGGGGCTGTGCCACGATCCTGCTCCAACACAGGCACTTGCACACACATACACGCAAACGCATATAGCCTGTATACTCCCTGACGGGTATCTCTGCACTGAACCTCCGTGTTTCCAGCCGGGTGTTAAGAGTCCGTCGTCCTCGAACCTACCTGCCCAGCAGCCCGACTGCTGCCATGGGCACGGGGGCACGCATGCTCACACTTACACAGCACTCTGCACCCAGGGGAGGACGGCAGTGGGTCTTGCTCTCACAAGAGCAAGTTACCCCCACCCTCCCTTTCCCCTGGCCTCTGTGGCGGCACATGTGTGATCCCCTGGCCGGAGCCACCCCGACACACACTCACAGAGCGAGGCTTCTCTCAGATGAATGGGCTCAGTCCTGCAGATTGCTCAACCAGGGCAGAGACTCAGGATGGCTTGGGCAGCACCCCCATCCCCCAACTCAGGACAGCCCTAAATCTGGCCGATATGTGTGTGCGCATGTGCTCTCTCACGCGCGGCGAATCTGTCTCTGCATATAGGACCCTCAAAGAAACCTGCCAGGGGCTGGCCACCTACTACTGCTGGGCCTCTGTACCGAAACCCCCTTCCCCAGGGGCTATTTTTTTCCTTCAGTTTCTCCCAGTTTCTTTCTTCCCAGGCGGAACCCTGATAGATCCCTATCACAGATCCACCCCAAGTAAGACTCAGAGAATGTCTTCCAAAGGCTCGGCTCTTCGGAGCAGAGCCTCTGAACACTGAAACCTTTTTAAAGCAGGCGAAGAGCTGTGATTTAAAGAGACAAATGCGCAAGGTTCTGCCCATCACCCAGGGGGCGCAGACACATTCCTGGGCAAGGGGCCCTCTGCTCTCGCCCTCCGCCCTGCAGTGTGGGGCCTTTGCTGCATCGTATCTGCTGCCTAATCTCTCTCCCTCTGCTTCCACTCCCTTCTCTCTGTCCTTGTAGCTTCCCTTAACTGACCATAATGTGAAAACAAAAACACATTTCTAGCATTGGCTGTGCCTATTGAACAGTATGTTATGGTCCTGTTCCTAATTTAGAAACTTAGTGAGTCGAACAATCTCTATTTTTCTCTTTAACGAAAAAATAAAGCCGGGTTCTCAAATGTTTCATACAGTACTGCCTGCCCTGGGAGAGTCCGCCTGGCGAGTCCCAACCCTCGCTGGGCCTCAGTTTCCCCATCCTCCCAAGGAGAGGCTTAGAGCCGACTGTCCTGGAAGCCCCTCTTGCTGCTGGCACAGGGGCATTTCTGACTCAGGTCAAGAGCCAAGAGTAGACCCCCGCCTCAGCTGGGCTGTCCCCACAGGTACCCATGACCACATGCCCACACCTGCATTCACTGTAAGACACACTTGTGCAAACACTCCGGTCTCCCCACGTGCACACACCCGCACCCACGTGCATACTCAGATCACGCTGAGCTGGGAAACGGGGACCATGCCCCCTCAGGCAGGCGATTACAGATTTAATTAAAAGTGACACAGTAAATAAAAAACATATAAAATGTAATTTGTGTGGGTAGCGAGGGGTGACTGGGGAGGGCAGTATGGCTCCTGTTTTAATTAGTGTGCCTGCCTGTGATAGTGCTCCTCGACTGGCTCGGGCAGGTGGCCTGAGGGAGGCCGTGGCAGGGACGGCGGCGGGGGGGGGGGGCAGCACCTATCCTCACCCCCTACTGAGGCTGCCTAGAAGGCCTGGCTGACCCGAAGGGTGGAGGGGGACCTTCCTGAGGCCCCTGCAGGATTCCCTGCATTCTGGAGACTACCCAGAAACTCTGGGGCCTGTGTCCCAAGACCCTCCACCCAGGGGGCCCCTTGGAGTCTGAGGTTGCCTTGTACATGCTCACAGAATTATGCCCAAACCACCAGACCCCAGGGCCCTGAAGCCCACTGCTAGAGCTCTCTCTGTAGTGCTTGACTCTTGGTCTCCTCCCCCTACACCTCCCAAGATCTTCAGGAAGTTCCTCCTCACGTCTGACTCAAATCCTTCCAGCTGTAGTGACTTGGTTTCCCCACTGTGCTAAGCTGCCCTGTCCCTGGACAAGGAGGGAGATGTTCCGGGGCTGGCGTCCGTGAGTGAGGGACTGCTCCCTGTTCCCCCAGCCCCTGTGTTCATCTGATGTGGTAGCTCCTCAACCATTCCTACACGGGGCCTGGGAATGGGGGATGGCGGGGAGGAGCTACTCTGGGGGCACGTGGGGCACATGTGTACACAGGGGCAGGAGACTGTGCATTCACAGCAGTGAGAGTCTGAGTGTTAGCGTGAGGCCATGCCTGAGAATGACTTGACGCCTGCGTGTGGACGTGGGTAGCAGGGGCTGAAGGCAGACGGCACTGGCTGAGCACCCAGGACCTGGCAGTGCCCAGGCCGTGGGCTCTGCACACTCACAGCCTTTGTAGATGTCCGTGGGGATCTGCACGGCCGTGTACGAATAGTTGACTTTGTTCTTGAAGTTTGAGTCCTCAACGAAGTCCAGCCTGAGGGTGCTGACCTTGGACCCCCTCTCCACATCCTCACTCTCAGGGTCATCCTGCAGAAAGGGATCCCCCCCACCGTGGTCATGTCAGGTCTAGAAAATGGTGGAGTGGGGTCAGACAGCTCTGCAGGCAGGAGAGGGCCAGGGTCTAGGTGATAGGGGCATCTCAGAATCAGAGACAGGGAGAGATGGAGAGACACAGGGACAGATGGTCAGGGGGTATGGACCCCTCCCCCAGGAGGCCCGTGACTCCCACCTACCCCTGGGCCACCCCACCCACCATCCCTACATTTGATAAACCCAAATTCCAAAACCCAAACCAAACTTCCCCACATTCTTGAAAACCAATTATCAATGAAGGAAACGAGTCCCAGTGAGAAAGAGCAGGCTGCACACCTCTGCTTTCAAGGTCAGGCTTGTGTGATCCTAGGGAGACCTAGGCAGCCCTTCCCAGGAGCCTTGGGCCCCCCACACTGGGGGGCCCTCCGATCCCCTGCATGGAGTTCCTTTGGCACCAGGGAGAGGGTCCTTACCCCCTCTGGGGGAGGGTCACCACCCCCTCAGCAGGTGGCTGTAGGGGCTGAGTTTAGGGGGGCAGCTGGGCTGGGGTGGGGGCTAGCATTGAGACCCGGTAACTTCCAGAGGGAGGGTCCTCAGCGCTTGCTAGCAGTGGGACTGCAAAGGCCCCTGTTGGCTTTCTAAAATGAGCTGCAGCCGTCTGACAGGTGCCAATTACAGCATCTCTCGGCCGAGCAGGCTGGGCATGCGCCATGCACCCCCGCCCACCACCACAGGCTGGCAGGAACGGGTCTGCCGCTGCAGCGCTGATGCCGCAGCCAAGCGGCGGCGGGGGGGGGCGGTGGGAGGGTGGGGGGTAGGCAGGCACGGGTGCAGGTGTGCAAGGGGGAGGGGAAGATGGTGGTAGAGAGTGAAGAGGAAGGCAGGGAAGAGCCAGACGGGGAGGAAAGGAGGGATGGAGACCAAGGCAGGGCAGGGGCAGATCTGGGGGCCTTGTGCCCCTGGAGGAAGGGGTGTAAGCAGCTGGGCCATCCGCATGCCCCCTCACTGCCTCTCAACCCGTGTGATCACCGTCAACACCAGGCTCAGCTCATTTCCACCCCCTTGTGGCTCTGCAGACCCCACTGCTCATTGGGTCCTGGGCACACCCGCTGTGTTTCTGCCTCCTGCTGCATCTTGTCTGGGGAAAGGGTGATCGTGCCTCCCTATCCAGCCAGATGAGCTCTGCCCACCCCAGGAGTGCTCCGGGTCTGTCCTCCGACCTGGGGAATGAATTACTGCCTGGATGGGGCTGCAGCAGGCGGGCCTGCGTGGGGGTCGGCACGGCCCTGAGAAGGTCTGCCGCAAGGACCCTTGGCGTCTCTTCAAGGGTGGATTCTGTACAGCAAAATCCAAGCCATCTGCTGCCCTCCCCTCGCCCCCTCGCCCCCTGACCATGTGTGCGACTCTCTGCCCACCTCGGCACACCCTAGGAGGACCCTCAGAAGCTCCTGGATGCTGGGTAAAGCCGGGGCAGGCAGCTACCCAGCCTGCCGCCTCTGAGGCGTGAGCCACTCACGTTCTGCTTGCAGGAGGGGGAGGTGCGGGAGAAGAAAGCCCCCGAAATGTCAGCGGCAGATGAAGGGCGCTGGAAAATTTAATCTCCCAACTTTCCCAACTAATGTGACATTTGGATTCTGTTCTGATAAGCTATCAGCTGGCGAACTTTTTCCTTCCTTCTCCTTCCCCCACCCCCACCTTCTGGCTGGTAATTTAAAAGTAAATGGTCTAGAAAGATCTCTAACTGTACCTCTGGCAAAGATTAAAAAAACAAAACAACACAACAAGCAGGGGAGTCGACAAATGTGTTCATGTCGATGTTTATAGAGGGCCGGGCTTTTGGCCTGCCCTTAGCCCAGCCCCACCCAGGGTGCCTCTCCCTCCTGGGGCTTGTCCCTACCCCCTTGAGGGGCGGGGGTGTGTGTGCAGGGAATCAGTGATTTAGAGCCAGGGGCGGGGGTCCTGGGCACAGGGAGTTCAGGGGATCCTGGCAGGGGCCCGGGCACCAGAACAGCCAAGGAGTCTCTTGGCACCACCCCCATGCCCAGGGGCTTTGTACGGTGGGCAACTGCAGTCTCCTGGTTTATATTTAATGCACTGATTGCTAAAATTACAGCCTGCTGCTGAGGGGGGTAAGGAATTAGATTCAGGGTCTAATTAAAGGTTCGCTCTTCATTTGAATTTCAGATTCCAGCTTTAATTTTAGCAACTTCTCTGGGAGCCACGGAGGCTCAGCCAAGGGGGAAGCACACCTGCTTTAGCCCACCCACCCCTACTTCTCCGGCCCCCTGCCCGCCTGCTCTCCTCAAGGCTCACCCAGGCTGGCCTGGCACCACCGACCCTCTGCAGGGTTCCCTTGCTGCCTGCCCACCTCCAGGGGCATTGTCTACCTCCCACTCGCCCCAGGAAATGCCCCCGGCCAATAAGCCCAGGAGAGGAACCCTGGATTTGGGGTCTCCCGCCCCAGCCAGAGCAGGTGGGACCCCAGGGACTGAGCTGTTTATGACACCTCTGTTTACAGAGGAGATAGTCAAGTTCAACTACATTTGCCTCCAAGGCAGGCAGATGGACTTGGGCCTTGGCAGGTTCACCAAACACTGTGTACCCTGTGTGCCCTGCCCTCTCGGACACTCTTGGCTCCTCTGTAGGTCCCTTGCTACCAAAATGGTCATACGGCTTTCACGTGAGGCCTCCGGAGACGGGGCGCCCAAGCACACATGAGCCAGTCAGGGGCGCTGAGACAGGAGCAGCGTGGGTCTGGGCCGTCCAGTGAGCCCCCGCGCCATCACTGCCCAGCCAGTGACCCCAGCAGAGCCCGAGCCCTGTCCTTCGACTGGGGAACAGGCACAGGGCTGGGCTGCCTCTGCAGCTGGGGCAAGCCTGACCGAGCTGGCGGGAGCCCCGACGGTGGGGCCAGCTGTGGGGGGCTCAACACATGGAAGGTACCTGCACCACCCGAGCCACACCACAGCCACATCCCGGCCCTGCCTTGCCCACCTCCAGGAAGCCCTTCCCACTGCTCCCTCTCTTCTCTGCTCCCACAGTGCTCAGCCTCCTCCATGCTGGCACCTGGATTGACCCACGGGAAGAGATCCAAGTGCCTCACTACCTACCTGGGGTCAGGCGCGGGGCCTGTGCCACCGCTACTTTGCAGGGTGACCTCAGGATGTGGGAGAGCGCTGAGACCTCACACTCATTTTACAGCTGAGGCTACTAGCCAAGGGACGGTGTGGGGCTCTGGCAGTTCTCCTCCCCCCAACAGGGGTAGGGCACTCACCAGCTCAGCGTCGGCCTTGGCATCATAGTACAGGATATCTTCCTCCTGGTGGGAGAGAGAGGCCTTGACCCTCACAGCTCCTCACAAGGCTGCTTGAGGTGCAGCCAGGGTCCCCGCCCTGAGGCCCCTGCCCGGATCCAGAGCAGCCTTGGGGAGGGCTGGCTGAATTAGGCCGGGCATGCCCACCCCCGCCCCAGACAGACACCCCCTCAGGGGCCCTCACAGGCTCCAGGGGCATGTGGTGCCCCAGGTTGGGTGGGGCCTCCCTGGGGCTCCCTGACTCCAGGACCGCTGAGAGGCGGGGTCAGAGCCAGCCTGTGTGCAGAGACTCTGGCTGAGGCAGTACCGGGGGAGTGAAGAAGATGGGAAAATAGAGCCGAGTCTGGGCCAGAGTGAAATAATGACTCGACACCGCATCTTCCAATTTCTTCTATTAAAAAGCCTGCTCATTACGGGCATGTACTTATTAATTATCTGTGATTTGTTGTGAAATGCAAGGGGGTTTACACAACAGGAGCGGGAGAAAACAAAGCCTGGCCCCCGCGCCTGCCTCCCCGGCCTGCCGAGCCTGCTGGTGTGCGCCCCGCCCGTCCCGGCCTCGCCCGCCTGCGCGAAGCCTGGGTTCTTGGCCATCTGCGCGTCATAATCACTGGCCACCCCGGGGACCCGTAACACAAACGGGCTAATTTCATGTTTAATGATCTTTAATCAGAACTGAGCATGGCTGACAGAGGCCGCCAGAAGGTGAATCTGGTGCCATCAAGTGCCGCTGGCTCTGGGGGGGCCACCCCACTCCTGCCCCTATGGGCTCTAGGGTCAGGACACAGGAGAAGGCCGCTGTCTGTGGCACCCTCCTCTACTGCTCCTCGGTGCTGTCTTCTACCGCAAACACCTGGTGCGTGGCCCCAGCAGCCTGTTTCTTTGTGGTCGAAAATGGGGGTGTTGACCAAGTGTGCTCCCAGCAAGCACAGAGCCAGCACTTACTCTCTGGGGGGCAGAGGTCACCTTGGCCACCCCTTTGGCTGTGTGACCTCAGGGCCTCACTGCTCCCTCTCAGCTCCGGCTCCTCAGGCTTCAGGGAGGGGGCTTGGCCTTGGGGACTGCCCGGGTGCTGGGCCTGAGGCCATAGTTCGAGGTGGTCAGTATGGGGGCTTGTTGTGGGGACAGTTGTGAGTTGTCTCCCACCAGAGGTCTGGGGGGTAGAGGCCATGGCTGGACCCGTAAACACAGTCCGAGCATTTCTGCAACATCGACTCCATGCCTGGCACCAGGCTTGGGCAAGACCACAGCAGCTGGATGGATGGAAGACCGGAAGCGACTTTGATTGCTTCGGTCACCAGAGGCATCTGCTACGTCCAGCGCTTCACACGTGCTGGGTTACGGGGCGCCTCCGGGAGCCCTGCGACCCTCCCCCTCAGACAGATGAGGACACGGCAGGGGTAGGAGGCTTCGCACCCATGCTCCAACCTGCCTTCCCGTTGCATCTCCAACCTTTGCCGCACCACCCACCCGGCAGCAGGGCTGGAGCCCAGGTGGGTGCAGGGTGGGGACCGGGGGCTGGGGCCCAGGCTCCAGGGTGCTCAGCCTTCCCTTGCGCCCAGCTCCGACCAAAGCACATAATGAAAGCTGACATTACATCAAACACAATAAGGAGTTTCGGTTGATGAAGATCATTCCTGAACACACAAACCCATTAAACCGAGGGGAAAAAATATCAATTCAACACAGTCGCTGGCAAAAAGAAAATGTGATTTGTTATCTAAAAGGGGGTTATCAACACGGCTCTGATGCTCTTTCCCTCCATAATGAAAACAGGCGGGCATGGTGGGAGGACTGCAGATTAGAACATGAGGCTTCACTCGCCAACTTTTTAGGCAAACCTCCCGCAAGGACAGGAAAGGGCATGGGTGGGGGTCGGTAACTCTGGGGCCCCCAGGAGACACGCGCTCCTCTCATAGGGCCGGGCTGGGTGGGTCCTGCCTGCATTCGGGCCACCCCTGGGCAGCTGCCCCAATGGCTCCCTTTGTCTTTTTGTCCTGCTGGTTCATGGTCTCAGCAGAGGATCAGGTGCTGGCGGTATCACTGACACAGGGGAGATGTGTCATACAAGAGGATTCCAGGGCCCTGCGGACAATGGGTGAGGCTCAGGAATCTGTATGCAGTCCTTGTCTCTACCTCTTCTACCTTGAAAGGGCCAGGCCATGCCCCTTCCTTGGTAGAGAGAGGATTAGCATGGGATGGTGGCGGGCAAGGTCACATGTGTGAAAATACATTGTAAACACAGCTGTGGTCTCTATGCTTGATGTGGTGTGGAGCTGGGGGTGTGACAGAATGGGGCCATCAGGGTTAGAGTGGGAGGAATCCCTGGAAAGGCCTCTGTGTGCACAGTGCCCCGTGTCCACCATTACTGTCCTGCCTTGGTTAGACCACAAGGAGCGATTCAGGTACCTAGCGATTACACGCAGGGGCCTTGGCAAAGGGTCTTGGCCTCAAATCCTGACCTGAACATGTGTGCTCTGGGATCCCAAATGGTGAGTGAAAACTGAGCCTGAAGCCTCCAAAGTCCCTAGTGGCCCCAGGACTAGTCCTGGGGGTCACCCCCATCTCATCAAGGAGGCAAGGGTGCCTGTTAAATCCTGCAGCCTCGGTGAGGCTTTCCTTCAGGGTCTTGATTTCCCACTTGCAAAGGTGGGATGACCATGCCCCGACCGAGGGCGCTACAGAGGCAGGGAGCTGGGCCTCTCCAGGCGCTGGGGGCCAGCCCCACCTGTGGGGGCCCTTATGTTTGCAACTCCAGTCCTGGGAGGGGCTGCAGGGTGGAGGAAACCCTCTGGTTGGGGAGAAATGGGCATTATTAATGTCTGGGGTCCACACCCAACACCCCCTTCTGCTACTTTAGGGGCCATTTTGCTCAAACTTGGCAGGGGGTGGGGGGAATCACCCTTCTGAACTCCCATTTCTCCCCCTCGTGGATTTCTGTATGACAGACGACACATGAAGGGTGGGGCTGGGGGGCCTACATGGCCTTTGTATAGACGACACATCACATACCCTCTCCTTAGCTGGAGAGAACGCAAGGGGTGCCGGCAGGTGGGAAACAGGGCGAGGAGGTGAGCATGGGGTAAGCATGGGGAATAGCAGTTGGTGCCTATGTCTGGTACTGTGGGGTACAGTGAGGATGCCTGGCCTTCCTGCCCTGGCCCGCGGCCAGCTCAGCTCAGCCAAAAGGACTGTTTTCTGAGAGAGCCGTCTGTCGCCGGCGTGGCAGAGAGGCAGGCAGCAGGCCTGATGGCTGGGGCAGACCTCAGGCCAGGGAGGCCACCTGTCCTGTCCAGCCGGCTCCTCTGGCCTGGTCCAGCCTTCAGTCTTCCTTTTAGGTTCCCAGACAGAGCTACCTCTCCCATCAGACCCCCCAGGGTAGGGCTGTGTCTCCTGCTTCAGACTCCCCAGGGTAGGACTGCTTCCTCCCTTAGACTCCCAGGGCAGCACTTTGTCCCCTACTGGGCCAGGTGTCGGCACTGAGGCCCGGGGGCCGATGGCCTCTTCCGCCTCTTCCACCCATCCCTGGCCCAGCTCCTCCCTGGTGGAGGTTCAGACAGCAGACAATGCTGGCACAGTGTGGTGCTGGGCCAGGCACGGCGTCCAGCAGGTGGGCCACCTTCATCTCCCCTGAGCGTTATGGGCACCAGAGCACCTGCTGCCTGTCTGCAGGGTCATGTGAGGTGCTGCCTCTCACGAGGGCCATGGTTTCCCTGGGGTCCAAGGGCTGTGGCCAGGCTGTGGTTCCCTGCGTCTGCCATAGCCAGTGTGTGGGGTCATGGCCTGAGACTAAGAGGGGAGCAGAGGGCCTTCAGGTCCAGACCTCTCTCTCTCCCCCGTGCCATCTCTGAGCCTGTCGACCTCAGGATCCCCCGAGTGCCTGGGATGTAGCTATACCACTGTCCACTTCTCAGAGGGTCTGCATGTAGACCCACTGTGTGCTGTTGCCATAGGGAGGACCATACCCTACTGATCACACAGTGGATTCCATGTGCCAAGCATCTCCTCTGTGCCCAGAACTGCCGGGTGCCATTCTCCCCATCTCAGAGGTAAGAAGACCAAGGCCCAGCTGCTCTCAGCCAACCTGTCCACAGGGCGCTCGGCTGGGCACATGGACAGGTGGTGGACAACACTGAATCAGGTCCGACTGCTTCTGGCCTAGAGGAGTCCTGAGTGGGGCAGATAGAGGAGTCCACTGGGATACTGGCCTGGGGCAGGCTGCCCTGGGAACTGTCAGTGTTGGGGGCTCCCAAGATGGATGCTGGGGGCCGTGGGGGCCAATCCCGGGCTTGGGACTCAGAAAGAGGAGCCCTAGGGAATTAACTGGAGAGGGAGAGGCATTGCCCTTTTGAAGGAGGAGGGCAGGGCATTCCTGGGCCAAGGCCCGGCTTGCGTAAAGGGCCTGAGTTTGACACTGGCGTTTCGGCTCTCCGGAGCGCCACAGGGAGGAACACGCTCCTTATCTGTACCTCCTGAAGGTCATTGGGAAGGACACGGTCTCAAGAGTGGGTGGTGTGCCTGCAAGCGACAGAGACACCGTCCCTTTCCCAGTCTCAAGTCCCCGTACCCCCCTGGCACGCACAGTCCCCACCTGCAGCTGCCGCCCCCCCCCGCCCCCGGCAGCCCAGGCAGGGTGGGCTGGCTAGCCAGCTAATGGGCCCGCCGTTAGCGCTGATGCCTTTCAGCCAGGCAGCAGGGTGACTGCAGGGCTTCTGGGGAAGAGCGGGGCCCTGACCCCGCCGCTGGGAAGGAGGGGGTGATTCTAGCTCCGCCCTGCCCGAGATACGGACAGATGAGCAGCCGGACGGACTGAGCGGGAGGCCCGGTGGTCACTTCCACAACTGGGGGCATCCCAGGTCGAGTCGAGGGGAGGGGCCCGGCCAGAGCCCGCTCCTGCCTCATCTCAGGACAGGAGCGCACAGGGCCGAAGACGCCCCTACACTGCCACCACCTTGGCATCTCTATGCCCTGACGTGTGCAGTGGCCCTTTCGCACACCAGGCCCAGGCCAGCAGGCAGCATCAAACACCAGAGTCCTTTGCCAGATGGGGAAACTGGAGCCCAGAGAGGGGCAACCCCTTGCAGGGCCCCGCGGGGACTCGGTGTGCAGGGAGCACATTGTCTCCAGCAGCACCCATCTCAGCATCCCCCTGATGCCCCTGAGACCTTGGTGCCCCTTCCTGGCAGGCCCCCGTGGTGCCCACTCTGGCCTGGGGTAAGCTAGTCCTGCCTCAGGGAGTAGCTGAAAATCAGGGGTCAGGAGTCTGGCTGGATGATCCTTGTAAAGTTTGGGTTTTCTGCCAAGTCAGGAAAAAAAAATAGGTTTGAGGCTAAGGCGGCCTCTTTGTCTTCTTGTCCGGGTCTGGACTGGGAGGGAGAGAAAACCAGGCTGAGGGCGGGTCTTTTCATTCCCTTGTTCCCTGTTCCTTCACTCACTGTCCCATGTCTGCTCTGCACACAGTCCTGGGTAGGGAGGGAGGACGCAGATATGTCAGGAACAAAGGAAGGGCCAGAGTAGGGGAGGCGTGCGGGGGGGGGGGGGGTCTTAGATGGCCAGAAGCTGGAGGGGCTGACGGACTGGGCCATGGGGGTGGCCTCACTGGGAAGAGACAGACAAGCCGGGCCGCCGGGAGGAACAGAAGGCATTTGGGCAGAGATCAGGAATGGGCCTGGAGTGAGGTGCTCAGCATGGCTGGCGCAGAGGGGGAGGTGGGTGAGGAATGAGGTGGCCAAGGGGGGGCAGCAACAGCCCGATCAGGGCTGGGCCTTGAAGAGGAGTCGCCCGGGTGGGTGCTGTTTTACTGGTGGGAGCGTGATCTGAGTGGTGGGTGGGAGCACCGCCACCATGCTGTTCCTGATCAAGGAGCTGAGGAGGCACGGGGACCCCGGAATGGGTGGTGGTGTTGGAAAGGGAGGGAGAGAGAAGGGTGAGTCCTGAGCTCCTGGGGAGGCGGGGTCTGTCCAAGGAGTCATCCACTCATTTATGTGTTCACTATAAACAATCACCTGTTACATCCAATCCCACCTGAGCTCCCTGAGGGTAGCATCCAGCACCCACCAGGCAGCAAAGGAAGGATGCCATGGGGTGGGCAAGGCAGGGCAGGACTCAGGATGGCCTGGCGGGATGGAGGCCAGGGATGAGGAGCAGACAAGTTCAGGGGGCCTGGATCATAGGCATGAATCCCCTGGGACCTGACAGCCTGGCTGTGAATCTCTGCCACCAACAGGTGCCTCAGGTAGGTCTAACCACCCTGTGCCTCAGTGTTCTTATCAGTTTAAGTAGGGATAATAATCCACTGGCCCACCAGATGTGCAACACCCAGAGCTGGAGCGGCAAGGGCCTACCCCACCTTATTAGGCCGCGGGTCCCCGCAGGCAGCCCTTGGCGCCTCTCCCCGTGGTTAGCACAGAGACCCCCAGGAGGCATGGCTCAGACGCCTGGGCAGCTGTGGAGGACACACGAGCCCTGCTAACTGGTCTGGTCCCTGAGGGTTGCATCATCCCTGGCATTGGGGGTTCCCTGAGTCTGGGAGGAAGCCTGTCTCAGTTTACCTTCTGGCTTACTGGGACCCTCTGAGATGCTGGCCTGCTGGAAAGGGTGCAGGTGTGTCCAGCCCCAGCCCAAAGCAAACACAGCTGCCTGCATTTGTGAGGGCCACCTGCGTTTGAGACTGGCAGTCAGTGAGGGTTCCCTTCCTTCCCCCACATTCTGGGCCCTTCTGCCCTCAAGAAGAGACCTACTACCAGCTTCTCACCCCTCTACTCCCTTGGCACCTGGGCTCCTTCTGAGCTCTCTTGGTGGAAGGAGAGTCTTCTGTGGCTGTGACAAGCCTGGTCCCTGATCCCAGCCGGACAGCCTCCTGGAAGACAGGCTGCTGTTCAGGGAAGTCCCAGGAAGGGGACAGAGTCCCCCTCTGGCAGTGACTCTTCTAGGGCAGTGTATTACAGTCTGAAAGGTCCTGGAGTCAAGGGACTTCTTTGCCCTAGGGTCTCTCCAGAGTCTGGGCACATCCTTAACCTCCAAGGCAACACCAACTTTGGGGAGCATCACTTTAGAGTGGCCTGTCTGCCCTTGGGGGACCCCACAGCTCCGCTAGGGTGAAGTGAGAGGTTCATATCTGCACCCTGTGTCCCAGCACCAAGGGGAGCCTCAAATGTTTGCTGAAGGCGGGACTGAGGTTCCAGGCTCTCCTCCAGTGAGTTTGGGCAGCGCCCCCTCCCCCAAATTCACATCTACCCTTGCCGGGGGTGGGCAGGTCGTAGGGGCTGGGGCGGGCACTGCAGTTCTTACCTTGATGTTGTCCTGCCAGCGGTGGGCTTTCTGGAAGCTCTCTGCGGCGTCGGCCAGTCTCTGAGGAACAGAGCACGAGGAGGTCAGAGGCTGAGGAAGGCCCATGCCCAGCCCCAGCCCTCTCCATCCTTAGTGTTCCCTGGAGCCAGGCTGGCTCAGGGACTCCCTTGCCCCATGCTGCCAGACCCTCCGGGATTCCTTGGCCCCAGACCTTTCCCAGCTTGCTGTATGGGCCCTTCCCCCACCCACAGCTGGGTTCACATAGGACCGATGAAGCCTGCACAAAGTGACCTGAGTGGCATCTCCATGGGACTCCCTGTACTTCAGCCCAGCCACAGCTCCTGCCCACAGGATGGCAGGGGCCCCCCCAGGACGTAGTAGGACCCAGGCCCTGGAGTCAAGCCCCGTTGCCCCTCTACCTCGGACAAACCAGTGTCACACCAGTGCCAAGAAGAGGCCCTCCCTAGTCAAGGGTGAACTGCCACAAGGGACAGGCGTGCCTTGCTGATGCGTCTTTGCCACCCGCTGCTCAGGGCTCGGCAGGAGGTGCCCTCAGCACACCTCACACACCCAGGCTCACTACCACTCCCCCCGTCCCAGCTTCCTGAGTCCCTTCCCAGCGTGGCTCTCCAAGCCTCGGTCCACACAAGCCTGGCCATCCCTTGGGGCTGGTTCCTGCACTCTCCTCCGTCACGGCCCCTCTGCGTGTGAGCAGGCCTTCTATCCCACACCCTGTTACCGCCATGCCTGGCACCAGACCACGCTGATATGCAGAGATGTGGCGGGCCAGCCCTGCCCTCTCACAGTCTAGAGGAGGAAACAGACACAAAACTGGGTGGAACCACCAGTGCAGGAGGAGCTGAAGTGCTTCGAGGAAGCTTAGTGCTATGGGAACTTGGGGCATCAGGGAGGGCTTCCTAGAGGAGGTGTTGGTACTCTGCCACCCTCAGGGCCTGAACCCCGGCTGCCCAGAGATTCTTATTTTGTGCCTCTGTGGGTCCTGTCCCTCCAGGAACTCTTGGGACTCCTAAAGATGGCCCTCTGGGGCCTCCTGCAGAGCTGAGTGCAGTGAGGTCCTGTTAATCATATTGATGACTGTCACCACGAACTGGTCACTTGCTGCATGCTGAGCCTGCCACCAGGCCAGTGACACATCATGTGTAGCTCTCTCCACTCATGCCTGGCATGTCTTCCTCAGATGAGGAGACCCAGGCATGGAGGCAGTAAGCAGCCTTCCCAAGGTCACAGCGTCGGTCAGGCTGGGGCCCTGAGTCTGGCCCAGCCCATGATCAAGGTCTGAAGGCACCTTCCATGGGCCCCACCATGCCTGGTGAGGGACAGGGCAACTCTTGTGGGGGAGGGGCTCTGGTCTTCCACCCCTGCCCCACTCCATCCCACGGGTGGAGCAGTGGGTCCTGCCTTCTGGCCTCCAGCCCTCACTCAGAAGGCCCTGGCCTCTTGGTGTTTAGGACACATACTCCCATCCATCAGTCCAGGCCTGGGGTGGCATGTGAGCCCCAGAAGGGAGGTTCTAACAGAGCCTGGCAGCTGCCCATGATGGGGAAATGGGGGTCGGGACTCGGGAGACTGGTTTTCTTCCCTCCCAGCACGGAACAGGGTGGTGATGGGGTATGGCCTATGTTCTCTGGGGCAGGACGTCACCTCGGGCAGTTAGAGGGGCTGACCAGGACCATCCTCACTCCCCCTGGGCCTAGCTCCCCCTCTTCCTCAGGCCAAGAACAATGAATGCTGGGAAGACTATGAGGCTGGGGGTCTTGGGGACAGGGTAGGAAAGTCTCTCTTGTCCAACCCCCTCACTTCACAATGCTGGGCCCCTCCTGGCCTCCAGTTCCCTCTCCTGCTTCCCCACCTGATCTTTGTAGGTTCTCTTCTCTGCCCACCTGTTATGCAGTGCCTGCTCGGGGCGGCCCACCCCACCCCCCTGACCCAGCTTCGGGGACCACAGGCCTCTCTACTCCCAGACACCTCCCATATCTTGCCTCCAACCCCGGCCCCTGCTGGGGTCCTGGACACCTTCCTGGGGTGACCCTCAGGCCCACTGGAGCGCATCCCATCCCCTCCTGGAATGAACCCATCCACGCTAGACCCCTGCCACTTACATCTTACCCCGCTATCACTGAGATCACCTACTGTCCTCCCTCAGGCTCCTGTGTCCTCTCTCGCCCTTTGTCATCTCTTGTCCAAATGCGGATCCAATCTGGCGGCCACCCCCTGCCCCTAAGCCCTTCAGCAGCTCCCTGTGGCTCTGCATATAAAAGGCAAAGCTTTCTTGAGGTCCCGAGGGGTCCACCTGCGCTTCCATCTTGGGGCCTCTTAGCCTAAACTACAAACACCCCTCCCCTGACCCCGACCCCCAGGATGGGTGCGGTCCCTGATTTGCAAGGCTGCAGGGTTCTTTTGCAGAGGACATCGCTATGTGATATGCACACACAACACTTGTTATTGCAGTTAACTGAGCACTCCTGTGCTAGCTGAGCACCTGCGCTGGATGAGAGCACGAGAAAGCCTAGGGGCAGCTCCTGGGGCCGCACCTCGAGGGGTGAGCCTTGGACAATCTCTTCATGCCCCCTTTCCTTCCCTAGTGGCCTGCTACCTTCCCGGGGACCCCAGACCTTTCTCAGAGGGGGCCTGAAGCCCATGCGGGGCTCCACTGAGGCCGCTGCCCTCCACGGGGGATGAGGTGCGGGCAGGGCGTGGGGATAACCAGATCAGGCCTCCTGCCTCAGGAAAGTCCCAGGGCTGATGGGGCTGCAAACACCAAACTGACACCAGCTGAAGTCTCCAGCTGGGCCGCGGCCTCTCCTGCACCCAGCTCCCTGCTGGCCAGGGGGCCCAGCTGCTTCGGCCTCTCAGGGCTCAGCTCCGTCCATGGGATGCACAGGCCCAAGGACCAGGGCTCCCTAGCGGAGCGGCCACAGTGAGGGAGACCCAGGGAGGGGGGGGCCCCGGCCCCCAGCCTCCTTGAAGTCCCACGGGCTCGAAGGCCCGGGTCAGCCCGCTGACTCGTGAATAACGGAGCTGCAATAGCCACAGCAAAAGGATTACGTTTAATCCTCAGTAACGATCAAGCCATTATTATTTGTTCGGTGTTACAGATCAATCAGCCCATCCCCGGGCGCTGGACGTGTGGAAACTGCTAAACACACAGGCCCGGTGGTGCAGGAGGAAGGGTGGAGGCAGCGGAATGGGGGTGGAGGGGGCAAGCTGTGGCTGCTGGAGGTCCCACCGGGTCTGAGGGGGTGAGGGGAGAGGCCCACTGGCATGCCTGAGGGGCCCTGGGCAGCGATCAGAGCCTGGACTCCTGGAGCCTCGGAGCCCGGGCCTGGGTTCAAATCCTGGCTTTCTTGAGTAAGTGGCTTCCCCTCCTGGCCCTCAATGTCTTGTCTGTAAATTGGGAATAGGAACTGTACCCACTCAGAGGGTGAGTAGGTTCTTGGCAGCCCCCTTGCTCTGACCCCCAGGAGCTGCCCAGAGGGACCAGTCCCCTGGGGTGTCTCTTGCTGGCTCCAAGCACGAAAGGCTTTTGCCCACCTCTGGGTCTTCCTCTGTTATCCACCTTCTGCCTGGGATGTGGTCTCTATCACCTCAGTCAGCCCCCTCAGACTGTCACCTCCCCTGGACGCCTTTTGCCCTTGCCCAGCCCGAGGGCTCCCCTCCCCTGTCTGGCACTCAGAGCCTCGGGCTCCTGTCTCCACAGAGCCCACAGCCCTGCTTAAGGCTGTCTGGGAGATGTGCTCGCAGCCTCACCCTGCCCTAAGTTGAAGGGCATCCTCCTAGCGCATCCCCCCTACTTCTCCTGGCTCCTTATGACGGCCTCCGGGCAGGCAGGATGGGGAAGGAAACCGAGGCCCAGAGTTGAAGACAGAACCACCTCTGCGTGGGCCCGCAGCTCGGTCCCATGTCCAAGATACTGCCTGTCTGGGGGGAGATGTGCTCTATTCTCACCCCTCAGCCACCGGCAGCCTCTGATTCTCCTGCTACCAGGCCCCTGCACATTCTGCTTTTGTGTCTCATCACCTAGACTCCTCAGCGGGTTCGTTCCCTCACCCTTGAGGTGTTAGCCTAGACCTTCTCCTCCTCCTAACCACTCCCTGGACCCCTGCCAAGCCCCCATCTGTCCCCATCACATCTCCTTGCTTTCTTCCTTGGGCTCTGAGCTTGGTGAGGGGGGTATCTGGCAGCTGTTAGCTTTACAATAACCTGGCCCCTTGTGCACAGTAGGTGCACAGTGAACATCCACGAACTTAAGGTCAGAGTATCTCTGAACCTGGGTGGAGACCTGGGCAGGAGTCTGGCTCTGCCAGCCAGCTGTGTGACCCCGGGTGGGTGGCTTACCCTCTCTCAGCTGCTTTTCCTCACCACAGCGTGGAGTAAAGGTTAGGGCGGCCCATGAGGGTAACACTGACCCTGCTGCAGAGCTGCTGGTGTTGGCTGGCCTGGCCCGAGATGTCCCCATCGTGGCCAAGGCATTGGAGGGAACCATGGCGGGACCACTGAGCAGGGCTGCTCACGGCCAAGTCCATCACAATAACAGCAGGCATTTCAGAGGCAATTATCAGAGAGTTTCACTTAACAATCAATTTCCCTCAGCTCCGGAAACTGTTCTTACAGGAAAAGGCAGGAAAGAGGAGGACTGGTGGTGTGCTGGGCCGGGGACGAAGCTCCCCTGCAGAGTAGCCCCTCTGCAGATGCCTTCAAATTTCACTAAGTGAAAAGTCTTTCCCTTGCTGCGGAGCCGGTGCCCTCAGATGAGGGGCCTGGAGCCACGGTGGGTGCCCCTCAGAGGCCAACAGCTGGAGGGTCCAGCCCCTACCGCACGCTGGGCGAGGTGGGGCTTGGGTGTGAGGGGGCTGGAGCCTCAGGCTTCTCCCTTCTCTTTGAGGGCCTACTCCTCCCCCAGGGCTGGGTGCCCCGCTTCTCCTGAGCATCCTCCTCTCACCCCAGGGCTGGCCGAGCCCGAACAGGTCTGGGGAGAGCCTGCCTATCAAACAGGCTTTGTTTCGTGCTGCCCAGAGGGAAAGATCGTATGAGGTGTTTGG